CATCAGTGTGTTATAGACAGTGAGGACAGCATCAGTGTGTTATGACAGTGAGGACAGCATCAGTGTGTTATGACAGTGAGGACAGCATCAGTGTGTTATAGACAGTGAGGACAGCATCAGTGTGCTGTGACAGTGAGGACAGCATCAGTGTGCTGTGACAGTGAGGACAGCATCAGTGTGTTATGACAGTGAGGACAGCATCAGTGTGTTATGACAGTGAGGACAGCATCAGTGTGCTGTGACAGTGAGGACAGCATCAGTGTGCTGTGACAGTGAGGACAGCATCAGTGTGTTATAGACAGTGAGGACAGCATCAGTGTGTTATAGACAGTGAGGACAGCATCATTGTGTTATAGACAGTGAGGGCAGCATCAGTGTGTTATAGACAGTGAGGACAGCATCAGTGTGTTATGACAGTGAGGACAGCCTCAGTGTGTTATAGACAGTGAGGACAGCATCAGTGTGCTGTGACAGTGAGGACAGCATCAGTGTGCTGTGACAGTGAGGACAGCATCAGTGTGTTATAGACAGTGAGGACAGCATCAGTGTGTTATGACAGTGAGGACAGCATCAGTGTGTTATGACAGTGAGGACAGCATCAGTGTGCTGTGACAGTGAGGACAGCATCAGTGTGCTGTGACAGTGAGGACAGCATCAGTGTGCTGTGACAGTGAGGACAGCATCAGTCTGTTATAGACAGTGAGGACAGCATCAGTGTGTTATAGACAGTGAGGACAGCATCAGTGTGTTATAGACAGTGAGGGCAGCATCAGTGTGTTATAGACAGTGAGGACAGCATCAGTGTGTTATGACAGTGAGGACAGCCTCAGTGTGTTATAGACAGTGAGGACAGCATCAGTGTGCTGTGACAGTGAGGACAGCATCAGTGTGCTGTGACAGTGAGGACAGCATCAGTGTGTTATAGACAGTGAGGACAGCATCAGTGTGTTATGACAGTGAGGACAGCTTCAGTGTGTTATGACAGTGAGGACAGCATCAGTGTGCTGTGACAGTGAGGACAGCATCAGTGTGCTGTGACAGTGAGGACAGCATCAGTGTGCTGTGACAGTGAGGACAGCATCAGTGTGTTATAGACAGTGAGGACAGCATCAGTGTGTTATAGACAGTGAGGACAGCATCAGTGTGTTATAGACAGTGAGGACAGCATCAGTGTGCTATGAAACAGTGAGGACAGCATCAGTGTGCTATGAAACAGTGAGTACAGCATCAGTGTGCTATGAAACAGTGAGTACAGCATCAGTGTGTTATGACAGTGAGGACAACATCAGTGTGCTGTGACAGTGAGGACAGCATCAGTGTGCTGTGACAGTGAGGACAGCATCAGTATGCTGTGACAGTGAGGACAGCATCAGTGTGCTGTGACAGTGAGGACAGCATCAGTGTGCTGTGACAGTGAGGACAGCATCAGTGTGCTGTGACAGTGAGGACAGCATCAGTGTGCTGTGACAGTGAGGACAGCATCAGTGTGCTGTGACAGTGAGGACAGCATCAGTGTGCTGTGACAGTGAGGACAGCATCAGTGTGTTATGACAGTGAGGACAGCATCAGTGTGTTATGACAGTGAGGACAGCATCAGTGTGCTGTGACAGTGAGGACAGCATCAGTGTGCTGTGACAGTGAGGACAGCATCAGTGTGCTGTGACAGTGAGGACAGCATCAGTGTGCTGTGACAGTGAGGACAGCATCAGTGTGTTATGACAGTGAGGACAGCATCAGTGTGTTATGACAGTGAGGACAGCATCAGTGTGTTATGACAGTGAGGACAGCATCAGTGTGCTGTGACAGTGAGGACAGCATCAGTGTGTTATGACAGTGAGGACAGCATCAGTGTGCTGTGACAGTGAGGACAGCATCAGTGTGTTGTGACAGTGAGGACAGCATCAGTGTGCTGTGACAGTGAGGACAGCATCAGTGTGTTGTGACAGTGAGGACAGCATCAGTGTGCTGTGACAGTGAGGACAGCCTCAGTGTTTTATGACAGTGAGGACAGCATCAGTGTGTTATGACAGTGAGGACAGCTTCAGTGTGTTATAGACAGTGAGGACAGCATCAGTGTGTTATAGACAGTGAGGACAGCATCCGTGTGTTATAGACAGTGAGGACAGCATCCGTGTGTTATAGACAGTGAGGACAGCATCAGTGTGTTATAGACAGTGAGGACAGCATCAGTGTGTTATAGACAGTGAGGACAGCATCAGTGTGTTATGACAGTGAGGACAGCATCAGTGTGTTATGACTGTGAGGACAGCATCAGTGTGCTGTGACAGTGAGGACAGCATCAGTGTTTTATAGACAGTGAGGACAGCATCAGTGTGTTATGACAGTGAGGACAGCATCAGTGTGTTATAGACAGTGAGGACAGCATCAGTGTGTTATGACAGTGAGGACAGCATCAGTGTGTTATGACATTGAGGACAGCATCAGTGTGTTATAGACAGTGAGGACAGCATCAGTGTGCTGTGACAGTGAGGACAGCATCAGTGTGCTGTGACAGTGAGGACAGCATCAGTGTGTTATGACAGTGAGGACAGCATCAGTGTGTTATGACAGTGAGGACAGCATCAGTGTGCTGTGACAGTGAGGACAGCATCAGTGTGCTGTGACAGTGAGGACAGCATCAGTGTGTTATAGACAGTGAGGACAGCATCAGTGTGTTATGACAGTGAGGACAGCATCATTGTGTTATAGACAGTGAGGGCAGCATCAGTGTGTTATAGACAGTGAGGACAGCATCAGTGTGTTATGACAGTGAGGACAGCCTCAGTGTGTTATAGACAGTGAGGACAGCATCAGTGTGCTGTGACAGTGAGGACAGCATCAGTGTGCTGTGACAGTGAGGACAGCATCAGTGTGTTATAGACAGTGAGGACAGCATCAGTGTGTTATGACAGTGAGGACAGCATCAGTGTGTTATGACAGTGAGGACAGCATCAGTGTGCTGTGACAGTGAGGACAGCATCAGTGTGCTGTGACAGTGAGGACAGCATCAGTGTGTTATGACAGTGAGGACAGCATCAGTGTGCTATGACAGTGAGGACAGCATCAGTGTGTTATAGACAGTGAGGACAGCATCAGTGTGTTATGACAGTGAGGACAGCATCAGTGTGCTGTGACAGTGAGGACAGCATCAGTGTGCTGTGACAGTGAGGACAGCATCAGTGTGCTGTGACAGTGAGGACAGCATCAGTGTGTTATAGACAGTGAGGACAGCATCAGTGTGTTATGACAGTGAGGACAGCATCAGTGTGTTGTGACAGTGAGGACAGCATCAGTGTGTTATAGACAGTGAGGGCAGCATCAGTGTGCTATGACAGTGAGGACAGCATCAGTGTGTTATGACAGTGAGGACAGCATCAGTGTGTTATGACAGTGAGGACAGCATCAGTGTGCTGTGACAGTGAGGACAGCATGAGTGTGTTATAGACAGTGAGGACAGCATCAGTGTGTTATGACAGTGAGGACAGCATCAGTGTGTTATAGACAGTGAGGAGAGCATCAGTGTGTTATGACAGTGAGGACAGCATCAGTGTGCTGTGACAGTGAGGACAGCATCAGTGTGCTGTGACAGTGAGGACAGCATCAGTGTGCTGTGACAGTGAGGACAGCATCAGTGTGTTATAGACAGTGAGGACAGCATCAGTGTGTTATGACAGTGAGGACAGCATCAGTGTGTTGTGACAGTGAGGACAGCATCAGTGTGCTGTGACAGTGAGGACAGCATCAGTGTGCTGTGACAGTGAGGACAGCATCAGTGTGCTGTGACAGTGAGGACAGCATCAGTGTGTTATAGACAGTGAGGATAGCATCAGTGTGCTGTGACAGTGAGGACAGCATCAGTGTGCTATGAAACAGTGAGTACAGCATCAGTGTGTTATGACAGTGAGGACAGCATCAATGTGTTATGACAGTGAGGACAGCATCAGTGTGCTGTGACAGTGAGGACAGCATCAGTGTGCTGTGACAGTGAGGACAGCATCAGTGTGTTATGACAGTGAGGACAGCATCAGTGTGCTGTGACAGTGAGGACAGCATCAGTGTGCTGTGACAGTGAGGACAGCATCAGTGTGTTATGACAGTGAGGACAGCATCAGTTTTCTGTGACAGTGAGGACAGCATCAGTGTGCTGTGACAGTGAGGACAGCATCAGTGTGTTATGACAGTGAGGACAGCATCAGTGTGCTGTGACAGTGAGGACAGCATCAGTGTGCTGTGACAGTGATGACAGCATCAGTGTGCTGTGACAGTGAGGACAGCATCAGTGTGCTGTGACAGTGAGGACAGCATCAGTGTGCTGTGACAGTGAGGACAGCATCAGTGTGTTATGACAGTGAGGACAGCATCAGTGTGTTATGACAGTGAGGACAGCATCAGTGTGTTATGACAGTGAGGACAGCATCAGTGTGCTGTGACAGTGAGGACAGCATCAGTGTGTTATGACAGTGAGGACAGCATCAGTGTGCTGTGACAGTGAGGACAGCATCAGTGTGTTATGACAGTGAGGACAGCATCAGTGTGTTATGACAGTGAGGACAGCATCAGTGTGTTATGACAGTGAGGACAGCATCAGTGTGTTATGACAGTGAGGACAGCATCAGTGTGCTATAGACAGTGAGGACAGCATCAGTGTGTTATGACAGGGAGGACAACATCAGTGTGCTGTGACAGTGAGTTCAGCATCACTTAGGAGAACATGGAGACACTGAAGCCACACTACAGTAAGGCAGCCTGTGGCCATTAAACTTGAATAGCTTTAAACATGGCAGCCTGTGGCCATTAAACTTGAATAGCCTTAAAAATTCAGCTCATTTATGCACTAGTCACCCTCAAAGTACTAGGTACCCACACTGACATGGCCTGCTGTCTTGGTCGGTGTGTAAACAGAACATTCATGATTTCTTGGAAAATTCCATGGGACAGGGCTCATTTAGGGGATTTTCCTCACAATGAGGATGGAAACTTTTTTTGATTGTTTTTTTCAGACCCAATTTGTGGAGAAAAATAACGACGCGCTACATATGTCTCTTGAATCCTTGATTTGTGAATCCAGGGATAAGTTTATAAGGGCGTTGTTTGAATCGTCCACAAATAACAACAAAGATACCAAACAAAAGGCGGGGAAACTTAGCTTCATCAGCGTGGGAAACAAGTTCAAGGTATTTGTGCTAAGTAACTAACTGAAGGGTTTTGTTTTTTGTTTGGGCTGTCTTTAAAATAAAAACCATTGTTTTCTGTTGTAAAGTGGATACTGTAGATCGTGGGAGTGCCGCGGGTGTGTCTCGAGTGGACCCTGCATTATCGATGCTTGTATGTACTACCTGACGGTGGTCCTCATAGCTGAGTATACAGAAGTGCTCATGTTTTCAGACTGTGTTTGCACACAGCATATCTGACTCACTCTCCTAATGTTCATGCTTCTGCAAACTGCCTGGGTGACCTTCAAGCCTTCTCTTTCCCATGTGTTTTCTGTTTCCTTTCTCATTCAGCAGTTTTGCTTAGCCGCAGTAGTTCAGCTCTGGATGACTAGAGAGGACTAGGTGAGTTGAGAGAGGAAAGCAGGCACATCCGGGGCTTCAGGTAAATGATCGCCTTCACAGACTGCTATTCACAGCATGGCTGCTATGTTCAAGAGCCCGTCCCAAGTTAATGGTTCAGTTTGTGATTCATTGTCAACGTGTTTTCTCTCATGGTGTCATGGGCATGCATATTACAGTAAAATTTAATTAAGGCTTTTGATAATTTTTATATAAGAGAAGTGTTCTGGTGTGACAAACTCTTCCTAATGTTAGAGAAATTTATTTTATTGATTTTTGAATCAGAAATTAATTCTTTGAAATCTAACAAGGAATATTTTAAAACAAGGCGTGTTTTAGTGATAGAATGCTGTTAACTGCTTGTAATTATCATTTAATATTACTTGTAATCATTGCCCAGTATAGCAAAATTAAAAAACATTTCATAAATAATTATAGTGTGTAGAACAAAAATATAATTCTCTATATATTTCTAGGAAGTATAATTGCATTTCCTTTAGGACTGCATTTTGCTTTTTGAAATGCATGCTTTAAGTATTAAGAATGACATAGTTGAGAACAGTATTTATATAAAGCAGTGGTTTTCAACCTTCCTAATGCTGTGACCCATTACTACAGCTCCTCATGTTGTGGTGACCCTAAACATAAAATTATTTTTGTTGCGGCTTCATAACTGTACTTTTTGCTACTGTTATGAATTGTCATGTAAATATCTGATATGCAAACCCTGTGGAAGGGTCACTCAATCCCCAAAGAGTCATATTCTACAAGTTGAGAATCACTTATGTAAAGAGTACTGTGGTGCTCACTAGTAGCACAGGCCTTCTCAAAGTTGAGAATCACTTATGTAAAGAGTACTGTGGTGCTCACTAGTAGCACAGGCCTTCTCAAAGTTGAGAATCACTTATGTAAAGAGTACTGTGGTGCTCACTAGTAGCACAGGCCTTCTCAAAGTTGAGAATCACTTATGTAAAGAGCACTGTGGTGCTCACTAGTAGCACAGGCCTTCTCAAAGTTGAGAATCACTTATGTAAAGAGCACTGTGGTGCTCACTAGTAGCACAGGCCTTCTCAAAGTTGAGAATCACTTATGTAAAGAGCACTGTGGTGCTCACTAGTAGCACAGGCCTTCTCAAAGTTGAGAATCACTTATGTAAAGAGCACTGTGGTGCTCACTAGTAGCACAGGCCTTCTCAAAGTTGAGAATCACTTATGTAAAGAGCACTGTGGTGCTCACTAGTAGCACAGGCCTTCTCAAAGTTGAGAATCACTTATGTAAAGAGCACTGTGGTGCTCACTAGTAGCACAGGCCTTCTCAAAGTTGAGAATCACTTATGTAAAGAGCGCTGTGGTGCTCACTAGTAGCACAGGCCTTCTCAAAGTTGAGAATCACTTATGTAAAGAGTACTGTGGTGCTCACTAGTAGCACAGGCCTTCTCAAAGTTGAGAATCACTTATGTAAAGAGTGCTGTGGTGCTCACTAGTAGCACAGGCCTTCTCAAAGTTGAGAATCACTTATGTAAAGAGCGCTGTGGTGCTCACTAGTAGCACAGGCCTTCTCAAAGTTGAGAATCACTTATGTAAAGAGCGCTGTGGTGCTCACTAGTAGCACAGGCCTTCTCAAAGTTGAGAATCACTTATGTAAAGAGCGCTGTGGTGCTCACTAGTAGCACAGGCCTTCTCAAAGTTGAGAATCACTTATGTAAAGAGTACTGTGGTGCTCACTAGTAGCACAGGCCTTCTCAAAGTTGAGAATCACTTATGTAAAGAGCGCTGTGGTGCTCACTAGTAGCACAGGCCTTCTCAAAGTTGAGAATCACTTATGTAAAGAGTACTGTGGTGCTCACTAGTAGCACAGGCCTTCTCAAAGTTGAGAATCACTTATGTAAAGAGTACTGTGGTGCTCACTAGTAGCACAGGCCTTCTCAAAGTTGAGAATCACTTATGTAAAGAGTACTGTGGTGCTCACTAGTAGCACAGGCCTTCTCAAAGTTGAGAATCACTTATGTAAAGAGTGCTGTGGTGCTCACTAGTAGCACAGGCCTTCTCAAAGTTGAGAATCACTTATGTAAAGAGTACTGTGGTGCTCACTAGTAGCACAGGCCTTCTCAAAGTTGAGAATCACTTATGTAAAGAGTGCTGTGGTGCTCACTAGTAGCACAGGCCTTCTCAAAGTTGAGAATCACTTATGTAAAGAGTGCTGTGGTGCTCACTAGTAGCACAGGCCTTCTCAAAGTTGAGAATCACTTATGTAAAGAGTGCTGTGGTGCTCACTAGTAGCACAGGCCTTCTCAAAGTTGAGAATCACTTATGTAAAGAGTGCTGTGGTGCTCACTAGTAGCACAGGCCTTCTCAAAGTTGAGAATCACTTATGTAAAGAGTACTGTGGTGCTCACTAGTAGCACAGGCCTTCTCAAAGTTGAGAATCACTTATGTAAAGAGTGCTGTGGTGCTCACTAGTAGCACAGGCCTTCTCAAAGTTGAGAATCACTTATGTAAAGAGTGCTGTGGTGCTCACTAGTAGCACAGGCCTTCTCAAAGTTGAGAATCACTTATGTAAAGAGTGCTGTGGTGCTCACTAGTAGCACAGGCCTTCTCAAAGTTGAGAATCACTTATGTAAAGAGCACTGTGGTGCTCACTAGTAGCACAGGCCTTCTCAAAGTTGAGAATCACTTATGTAAAGAGCACTGTGGTGCTCACTAGTAGCACAGGCCTTCTCAAAGTTGAGAATCACTTATGTAAAGAGCACTGTGGTGCTCACTAGTAGCACAGGCCTTCTCAAAGTTGAGAATCACTTATGTAAAGAGTACTGTGGTGCTCACTAGTAGCACAGGCCTTCTCAAAGTTGAGAATCACTTATGTAAAGAGTGCTGTGGTGCTCACTAGTAGCACAGGCCTTCTCAAAGTTGAGAATCACTTATGTAAAGAGTGCTGTGGTGCTCACTAGTAGCACAGGCCTTCTCAAAGTTGAGAATCACTTATGTAAAGAGTGCTGTGGTGCTCACTAGTAGCACAGGCCTTCTCAAAGTTGAGAATCACTTATGTAAAGAGCGCTGTGGTGCTCACTAGTAGCACAGGCCTTCTCAAAGTTGAGAATCACTTATGTAAAGAGTACTGTGGTGCTCACTAGTAGCACAGGCCTTCTCAAAGTTGAGAATCACTTATGTAAAGAGTGCTGTGGTGCTCACTAGTAGCACAGGCCTTCTCAAAGTTGAGAATCACTTATGTAAAGAGTGCTGTGGTGCTCACTAGTAGCACAGGCCTTCTCAAAGTTGAGAATCACTTATGTAAAGAGTGCTGTGGTGCTCACTAGTAGCACAGGCCTTCTCAAAGTTGAGAATCACTTATGTAAAGAGTACTGTGGTGCTCACTAGTAGCACAGGCCTTCTCAAAGTTGAGAATCACTTATGTAAAGAGTGCTGTGGTGCTCACTAGTAGCACAGGCCTTCTCAAAGTTGAGAATCACTTATGTAAAGAGCACTGTGGTGCTCACTAGTAGCACAGGCCTTCTCAAAGTTGAGAATCACTTATGTAAAGAGTGCTGTGGTGCTCACTAGTAGCACAGGCCTTCTCAAAGTTGAGAATCACTTATGTAAAGAGTGCTGTGGTGCTCACTAGTAGCACAGGCCTTCTCAAAGTTGAGAATCACTTATGTAAAGAGTACTGTGGTGCTCACTAGTAGCACAGGCCTTCTCAAAGTTGAGAATCACTTATGTAAAGAGTGCTGTGGTGCTCACTAGTAGCACAGGCCTTCTCAAAGTTGAGAATCACTTATGTAAAGAGCACTGTGGTGCTCACTAGTAGCACAGGCCTTCTCAAAGTTGAGAATCACTTATGTAAAGAGTGCTGTGGTGCTCACTAGTAGCACAGGCCTTCTCAAAGTTGAGAATCACTTATGTAAAGAGCACTGTGGTGCTCACTAGTAGCACAGGCCTTCTCAAAGTTGAGAATCACTTATGTAAAGAGCACTGTGGTGCTCACTAGTAGCACAGGCCTTCTCAAAGTTGAGAATCACTTATGTAAAGAGTGCTGTGGTGCTCACTAGTAGCACAGGCCTTCTCAAAGTTGAGAATCACTTATGTAAAGAGTGCTGTGGTGCTCACTAGTAGCACAGGCCTTCTCAAAGTTGAGAATCACTTATGTAAAGAGCGCTGTGGTGCTCACTAGTAGCACAGGCCTTCTCAAAGTTGAGAATCACTTATGTAAAGAGCACTGTGGTGCTCACTAGTAGCACAGGCCTTCTCAAAGTTGAGAATCACTTATGTAAAGAGCACTGTGGTGCTCACTAGTAGCACAGGCCTTCTCAAAGTTGAGAATCACTTATGTAAAGAGCACTGTGGTGCTCACTAGTAGCACAGGCCTTCTCAAAGTTGAGAATCACTTATGTAAAGAGCACTGTGGTGCTCACTAGTAGCACAGGCCTTCTCAAAGTTGAGAATCACTTATGTAAAGAGTGCTGTGGTGCTCACTAGTAGCACAGGCCTTCTCAAAGTTGAGAATCACTTATGTAAAGAGCGCTGTGGTGCTCACTAGTAGCACAGGCCTTCTCAAAGTTGAGAATCACTTATGTAAAGAGTGCTGTGGTGCTCACTAGTAGCACAGGCCTTCTCAAAGTTGAGAATCACTTATGTAAAGAGTGCTGTGGTGCTCACTAGTAGCACAGGCCTTCTCAAAGTTGAGAATCACTTATGTAAAGAGTGCTGTGGTGCTCACTAGTAGCACAGGCCTTCTCAAAGTTGAGAATCACTTATGTAAAGAGTGCTGTGGTGCTCACTAGTAGCACAGGCCTTCTCAAAGCCCTTTTGGGTTGAAATGGGCCCTGGCCTGGGCTTGGGGACACATGCCTGCCTGTAATCCCAGATCAAGGGGATTAGAGCTCAGAGGATCCCTGGTCTCTGGTACCTGGATCAAGCTATGTGAGACCCTGTCTCAAAACCCAAAACCCAATCAGACAAACAAAATGAAAAAAAGAAAGAATTGATATGGAACCTAAATATCTAACTTGATACTTACATTTCTAAAAGCTAAATTCTTTTTAAAGCTTTCAAAATTTAAATATTGAATAAAAACCGTAAACAGGTAGCTGAATTAAAATGTTTTGATTTAATTTAAGATGTATTAATTGTAAGTTCTTGATGTACTCAGTGAGCAATATATTTTGCCTAGTATTTTTCCATTCAAGATTAAACATTTGATAACAATTTGGATTGAAAATAGCCCATGGGCCAGATGTGGTGTCATGGCTACTGTGGTCCCAGGTGACTCAGGAGGCCAATGAAGGAGGATGGCTTGAGCCTAGGCATTCAGGGCCAGCCTGGGTGACATAACCATCAGACCCCTCCTCAGAAAACAAAAACACACCATATCATATGAATATAGTTACATTGTTACTAAAAACGTACTGAAAATGATAGACAGTATAAATTACCTTTAACTGGAGATTTAGATACCTTGTAACTGTTTATACATAGTAATAGCTACTTTTTGCACTGACTGCAAAAAACTCTAAGTGATATGAATGAAATATTCCACATGTATTGTTCTCTAATATGCTTTAAAATGAAGTCTTGACTGATCTGAAACTCACAATATAGACCAGTTTGGTCTTAAACTCACAGAAATCTGCATGCCTCTGCCCCCTGAGTGCTGGGATTAAAGGTGTGCAACCATGCTGAGCTGATATGAAATCTTACTAGGACTCTTAACTTTAAACATACTTTAATAGCTCATTAAATTAAATGTGAGCTATGTAAAACAAACACAAAGAGGACTCCATTTCAGTAGCACTTTGGTTATCCAGACTCCAGTTCAATAACACTTCAGTTATCCAATGCCATGAGGACCAAACAAATCTTACTGTATAATAAACACAAATATTTGTGTTTGTAAAAGTGAAATATGAAGGGCTAGAGAGACGACTTAGAAGGTGAGTGTGTACTGCTGTTGCAGAGGACCCACGTTCTGTCCCCAGCACCCACATCAGTGGTTCACATGTACCTGTACCTCTAGTCCCAGGGAACCCGAAGCCTCTGGCCTCTGAGAGTAACTACACTCACTTGTGATAATTAACATCAATCCTAAAAATAGTTATGTAAAAAAAATACACAAAGCCTTATTTGCCAAGAGTACTTCCTGCTCTGGCTTTGGCTTTGCGTTAATGGACATTCTTTTCTGTTTTCTTAGCTGTTGCTGTTTAGTTTTTCCTTTTGCTATTCTTACTTATCTCCATTTTTTGGGGAGCAAAACAACACACTTTGTCTATGGATTAAAAAGAGTGAGTTTGTAACTGTTGCTTTCTTTCCAAAGAGACTGTTGACTTGCTTTTCAGTTGTCTGGGGTACAGATTGATGTTGACTTCTGTCAACTAGTTTTGTGAGTGTGACTGTGTTCTTCAGTCCCATGACAAATCCACTTCATTCTAATAACAGTTTACTCACAGTAAGAGAATGAACTTGGGTGTCTGGATTTTGCCATTACTCGCTCCATGTTCTCAGACACATCAATTTTTTTCTCCCTAGATCTTAATACCTGTACAATGATACTAATAATCTACCCTTAGATTAATTAGTAATTATGTTCATTGTGATGTATTCTTTGTTGGATTAAATACAACAATACTTATGAAAAGCTTTCTTTGAGCATTACCCACTCACGGAAAAGCATTCAGCAAAGTCTACATGTTACTATTAATTATAGCTGTGCTCAACACAATATGTTAATTTAAGAATTAGCATCTTAATTTGTATTTTCCAAGTAGCATAATAAGCATTTCGGCACAAAATTACTTTGTAGACTAGCAAAACAAACATAACTTAAGCATACTGAGCCAGGGTAAATTATAATCACTACTATGAAGCTAGGAAATCATGGCAACTGTTCATTGTGAAAAATATATTAAGGAAATGTTTGAGTGTTAAAAGCACTTGAAATATATAACATTTTAAAATAGGAAAGAGAGTCTCTGAAGCTAGAAAGAGCAGTTTTGTTTGGCTGTGCTGCATGAGCTGGTCCCGGTGTACAAACAGTGCTCACTTTAAACATCTCAACCTTCATAGCATGTGTCTTGTTTGCCACGTACCCAGACACTGTGATGCAGCTTTTATGCTGAGTACCCCCAGAATCTTCACTCTTCATTGCTTATATAATTTTCCTTATTCATCTTATGATGTGTTAATGTGTCACTAATTTTCAGTCTTAATTATACAAGTTCTGTGTTAACAATGCAAGTCATTGTCCATGACATTTCATTAGCCGTTATGCATGTGCGGCCGGGTACACAGAGAATGCGCCAGGAGGTTATTATGATATGTTACACGTGGAAGCTTCTGCATGTTATTTTAGTCTCGTCTCGGTGAGTTAATATTAATTCACTTCCATTGTGCATTTTGACTTTTTGAAATAATCTCATCTTCTTTAATTTCTAGACTCAGTTAAATCTGCTTCTGGATAAACTCCGCAGTACTGTGAGTATACTTAATAAGAAAACGAGTTTTTAAGATGGTCCTTTGAAGCTTTTATTGGTGGTTATCCAAGTAAGCATAGTAACCTTGGGATAATGAGAGGTATACTTTAAACCATATTCTCTTTCAAAAAGATGTCGGTTTTTAGAGGGCTGGAGTTTAACTCAGTGCTAGATTTTTACCTGGTAAGCATGAGGTTTGAGATGACAGCTCCAGTGCATACCCCCCCACATGCATGCACACATACAGCGACATCACAGCCACACCCACACCACAGTCACACCCCCACACAGACACCTCCCCACACGAGTACCCATAGCCACAGCCGCACCCACATTCACACCCACACATATATATATATATATATATATATATATATATATATGTCCACCTACACAGTCAGCTTTTGAGATGGTAAGATGCTTCTTATTAGTTTTTTTTTTTAAAGAAAGGCCAAGTATACATGTGAAGTGAAATTATTTGGAAGTCTTTGTTGTTAATAAATGAAGATTCCACAAAAGTGAAAACAGTAATTACAAGAAAGAGCAAACATATTTTTATATTACAGATAAAACATGCAATTTATTATAATACCTTCAGACAGGGCAGTGTGCTGCAGACAGAAATGAACTTGATTTTTTTTTCTGTCTTTTACAGACGCCAAGATTACTGCAAGTTCACCTTTTAACTACATTTTCTTGATTCACCCTGGAATTTTTTTTCTAGTTGTGTTTTGGTGGTGTTGGCACTGAACCTAGGATCTCGCACATGCTAGACAAATGCTCTGCCCCTAAGCTGTACACCTGGCCCTTGATTGTTATCGTCTTACATTTTTGGACAGGGTGTCCACATATAGCTCAGGCTGGCCCTGAACTCATAGTCATCTTAGCTTTGACCCAGTGTCCCGGGGATGACAGGTGTGACTTGTCTGTGCCCGGGTTCACCCCAGTGTTTTGACTGAAAAACAAAACCCACACAGAAAGAAATCCTAATTGCTGAGTATGGTGGCACACACTTGGCGAACCCAGAATTTGGGGAGTTGAGGCAGGAGGCTTCAGTTTGAGGCCGGCTTGGCTTGCACAATGAGAGCCCGTCTTTATAAAGCAAAATGAAAAGGAAAGACGATGAATATGTGGGTTTTTTTTATACAAATCATGGAGTTCATCTTCATACTGTACCCTTCAAGGCATCAGTCATTTCCAGCAACCAAACATTCATTCTGCCCTCGTTGTTACTGCTTTACTTACTGATGAATTTTCCCTTTGGAGCCTCAAGTTTCCGAGACTAAAATATTTGACTCTTAAGAGCCAAGCATCTTGTAAAAATATAACATTTTTTTCCCCTTGGGAGTTTCATACATGTGTATAATGTATTTGATGGAATTCATCCCCACTCTCTCTCACAGGCCAGGCTTCTTTAAAGGTCAAGTCTGATGAGGAGGTTATTTTATTTTCACTTCTCAGAGAGTACACTGCTCTAAAATGATGAGGTGATTGTGGTTTGTAGAAACATGTCATCCAAGTGTCCGTGGTGAGCATCCTTACTGAAATAACTGTCCAGGGTTGTACGGAGGCCACTTTGAAGACAAACAGCTGTCGGATGTCTGCTATGTTATCTTCTATACACAGCACTTCCACTGTGGTACAAACAGTGTAATTTCTGCCTCGTTCAGCAAAAAATGATCACCACATGGCATTCCTTAAGTTTTTAAAAATATTGCTCAACAAAACACATAGCAGTGCAGTTTGGGACCTGTGTAGTTTTGAAGTTGAATCAAAATACTGATTTATGCTTGTGTTTTGTTTGCTTATGTTTTGGCCTAAATTTTAAACAGCGTTATTTTTATTTCCCTTCCCAGCCTCTGTAGAGGCTGGGGATCTAGCTAAGTGATAGGATGTTCACCTATGTGAGCAAGCCTGGGTCTGAGAAACAATGCCACACCCTCTATGAGAAGATAATGTTAAGCCTACATAATGCATTGTTTAAATGTGATGAAATGCTTTTTTAAAAAAATGATTTTTGACATTCAAAACTAAATATCATCTTGCTAATATTTATTTATGACATAGACATTAATTTCAAGGTTCAAATTATAGAAATATGACAATAAAATTATATACTCCTTTGTGTCATTAATGTTAATATGCTGTGAAAGTTGGTGGTATTCCTAGATATAGAAACATAAAGATGCTATTTGTACTATCTTAAAAAGTATTTCTTATTCTTTCAGGGAGCAAGCTTCATTCGCTGCATCAAACCCAACTTAAAGATGACAAGTCATCACTTTGAAGGCGGCCAGATCCTGTCCCAACTTCAGTGTTCAGGTATCTCCATATTTCCATAGTCTGTCACAAGGTCTTCAAACAAACGACTTCCCTTCCCTTGATTCTAAGCAAGGCGCAGGAGGCTGGTAACTCGAGCAACACGGACTTCAAGTTTTTGTGAAGTGATACAATCCAAGCAGGCTTTGTAAAGAGCCTGTTACTGGCAAACCTGGATCTGTATGCAAGCTGCTTCTGGCAGCCGCAGTCCACGAAAGTCCTCATTTCCCACACAACTGGGTTATAAGAGGGTTTGGTGTCCTTGCTTCTCCTCCACCATTTGTGGAACAAAAAATCAAAGCAGGATGTGCCCTTGGGCTCTGTGTCACTTTCATGAACTTGATTAATCTGTCACTTCCAGCCCCAGCCCTGGATTCGCTCAGTGGCAGAAACCTCGGGCACTTAAACTTCGTGCACACGCATCCCAGCCATGGCTGCTGCCTTGCTCTTTCTGCCGTTTGGTTTGGTCCAGCTTACGTACTGCTGCTCCTCAAACCCAACCCGACATCCTCTGACGGTTTTCTGGTCCTTTCAGAGACCGATTTACAGCGAGGCTAAGGTCTCTTTAAGTATAACTTTTCAAAGCCCTGCACTTAATTTTGTATTAAAGGGTCCTCCCCAAATGAGGCAAGCTTCAGTTTTCCTGACATCTGGATCTATTTCTAACTCTTCTCTGTAAACTTTAGCTGTTAAGAATTTAATCCAGCGCTTTCCCCTCGTCTGAACAGGGCTGGTAGGCCAGCCAGGTTGGCACCACTTAAATTCACGGTCACTGACCTTTCCCGGCTCTCAAACCTCTCTTGCCAAGTTCTGGGCTCCACATATTTCGGTTTCTCTGCAGAGCCAGCCAGACCCTGTCCCTCCAGCCCCCTGGCTCTCTTTAGCGCTCTGCCAGCCCATGGCCTCTTCTCTCACCAAAGCCTGGGAGCTTCACCTGGATGCTGCCAAGCGCTTCTGCCTGTCTGCACTCCCTTCTCCCGCTTCGGGTCTGTTAAAAGCAGGAATCTCTGGTCCCTGGTATAGTCCTTTCTGCTCTCCTGAGTCAGCATGCTGATTAAGTGCTGGGCGACGCCCCGTGGGACTGAGTGCCCCCATTTCCACTAAGACACACTAGACCTCCTCTGTCACTCACATGACGTTCTACACTCTCCCTTTCTCCTGTCTCTCTCTATAGTTCTTTTTTCTCTTTGCCACTCTCGGTTTGATTTCCCTGCCTTCCATTCCTCCTGGAACCCCTGGTGTTACCCAGGATGCTAACCAGGGGATTGACACTAGGGGGCTCTTAAGCATTTGGAATGTGGCAGGTGGGACTTCTGTAGAAGTGATTTTACATTTTATTTGCTGCTAAAGTGCAAACAGCTATGTGCGCCTAGTGCAGCTAAGGACCTGCGGCTAGTGACTGCCTCGTCCAGTTGTGCAGGACGCATTCTGTCTCTTTCCCGAGCACTGTGATCTCCTCCTCGGTGAACGCTGCTGCTTCCCACTCCAAGCTGCGGTCGCCCATACCTCCCTCTTGCATCTGCTCAATGCATTGGAGACTGTGGCATTGTCACTTCACAGTTCAGCTCTGACCGCGTCTCCACACTGCTTACAAGGAAGGCTCTTCGATGGATCCTGATGAGTGCTGGGGTGAAGAGTGCAGTCCTGGTGCTCCTCCTCCTCCTCCTCCTCCTCCTCCTCCTCCTCCTCCTCCTCCTCCTCCTCCTCCTCCTCCTCCTCCTCCTCCTCCTCCGGCCTGTGTGTCCTCAGCTCCCCTCTCTCCAGAATCTTCCATATGTGCTCTAGCCAAGTGCTCTCAGTGCTCCATTCCCTTCCATTGCAGGGTCTAGGTACATGCTGCTTCCTGGCGGACAGGACATCTTTCCTTCATCGTCCATATGTCCTTTAAAGCGAGTCTTGATGCTGGCTCCAAAAGAGGCTTTGTTTGTAGTGCTGAGGTCTGGCATTTGTGTTTCACAGCCACAGTAACAGATTTTATGAATACTTGTAGAGTTCCTCATGAGACTAATAGGCTGTCTACTATGCATCAGTCTGCTAGTATAATTGTTATATGTGATATATAGGCATATGTGTATTATAATACGCATATATAATATACAATTATTTAAGGTTTCCCTCCAGGAATTGTACTTTGGCTTCCTCAAAGTCCTGGTCTTTTTAGTGTGTATCAGACTAATTCATCTTTGAATGGAATGCACAGTCTATCAGATACAAAAATTTATTTGTGATTAATTTTAAACAAATACTGGAAAGTCAACTAGTGTATTTCTGCATATAATAATGAACTTTTTTTTTTGCACAGTAACTACAATTATTTGAAACCCTTTGCGTATACACACAGTCAGCCAAGTCGTAGTGTAACAGGTGACACCATTTCATTGTCAAAAACTGTGGCAATGCTAACTTCCTACTAGCAGACCTGAGAACTTAATCTCATCCTGGCCATTTATGAGTTCAAAGCCAGCTGGAACTACATAGCCAAGAGCTAGGGCTGTAGCTCAGTCTGGTGGGAGAACATTTGTTTTAGCATGTGCAAAGCTCTGGGCTCAGTCCTCAGTACTGCAAGAAAAAAATGATGGCCTCTATGCATTGATTTAATCAGTATACATTATGCCTTAGACATATTTTTATGCTGGTTAGATAAATCCCTGGTCCCTAGTTGATGCATTATTTAATGGGTACAATATAATTTAATAAGCAGGCCTTCAAGTTATTTCTGTTCTGTGTTTGTTTGTTTGTTGTAAGCAGTGACTGTGGATATCTGGGCAGTCTCCACATCTTTGTCCATAAATGAGGAAATTGTAATTTAGATTCATAAAAGTAGAAATTATACAAAAGATAAGTGTTTCCAAGTTGCCATCTATTTCCTTGGCATACTCTCTAACAGAGTTTTTATTCTTTTTGCAGTCTAATGGGCTAGTATTCAATCTGTCTTTCCTAGATTTTCAAGTTAAAGATACACTTATTAAAAATTGTATTCTAATCTTTACATTTTAATGTGACCAACTGGAATTCATTTTGGCATAAAGAATAAAGAAAGGGTATATTATCATTTTTGTTTTCCGCATATGCTACTGATATTCATATTTTTACCACTCCTACTTTCTTTAATATTGATTTAATAACTACATCTTAATCACTTAAAAATAGTTGCTATTATAGTTAAATAAGCACTCATACTAATGTAGTTACCAAAGTGACTATTTTTTACAGAATTTCTCACTTGGATTGTGTTTTTGTGGTGTTAGAGATGGAACCCAGCACAGTATTTTTTACTGAACAATCTTACTGCCTGTTGACTTGTGTCACTCTGTGTCTCAACACCAAGTCTGGCTGTGTGAAAGTGGTTGAATTTTGTTCTCTCTGTGATATTTAAGGTATAGATTCTATTTTACCTTTCCTTTTAGGCTTTTTTGTTTTCCTGTCTTGAGGATAATTAATTTAAAATACTCTCCGAGTTTGTTTTCTATTGCTGTGGGTAAGACCATGACCAATAATAACTTGGAGGACAAAAGAGTTTATTTCATCTTACAACCCCCTGAGTCATGCACCATCACTGCAGGAAAGTCAGGGCTGGAACTCACAGTGAGAATGTGGAGGCACAGACTGGAGGAACATGTCACTGGCTTTCTCAGCCACATTTCTTATACAACCAGAGATGCCAAGACGGCCTGTCCCAGGGTGGAGCCATGCACACCAATCATTAAGCAAGAAAATGCCTGGCAGATTTGCCTACTGGCCAATCGAGGCAGTTTTCTCAACTGATATTCTCCTTTCCTGATGACTTGAGTTTGTGCCAAGTTGACAAAAAGGCAACCAGCACAGATACTTCCTACTTAATAAAATTACTATCTGGTGACTATCAGGACAACACAGGGAGATGGGAGAAGGCGGGTTTTCTTCTTTTGTAACTCTTGTGTTGACTGCTGTCTCATGTTGACCTGAGGCTCAGGTTGATCATTTACTAGAGTTAAATTAGTTTTATATTTATCCTATGGACTTGACTTCTAACCAATAGATTAGTTTCTTTGAGAGGTTAGTAGATCTTATTTTGAGGCTGGGCCTAGAACCTATTGAGTATGCAAAGCTAGTGTTCTCTTTGGGAGCTATAGTCTCAAACTGGTGGAAGGGGGTGGATGTATTTGTTTGTGTGTGTGTGAGAGATTATACATATACATAATAAATTCTCTTTTGCTTTGTATTAGTTCTTGGGAAAGCACAGAAGAGGAGGGAATGGACAAATGTAGCATTTTGCTTTATGTGCTTTTAATTGAAGATTTAAAAAAGATAGAAAGCATTCTGAAGCCTTCTAGATGGGCTGCCCCTGAGAAATGATCAGCTCTGCTGATTTTACATGGGATTTCATTGTGGTGTTTTAAGTGATAAGTAAGTGGGGGCATCCTGACTGGAGGTGGCATGCGGGCACTCACCCTGTAAGTTGTCCTTTCATAAACATCCACTTGTATATTGATGAGTCACTCACGGGCTACCCTGCATTCTGTACGGTGACTGGGGATTATTTGTGCTCATTACTCTAGGTATGGTTTCTGTGCTGGACTTGATGCAAGGAGGTTTCCCTTCAAGAGCCTCATTTCATGAACTCTATAACATGTACAAAAAGTACATGCCAGAGAAGCTGGCAAGATTGGATCCAAGGCTATTTTGCAAGGTATAAATGCTGCTTCAATACAAATTTCTTAGCAACAGATCTTTCCTATTAATTTCTGGTTGGAACTCAACTTTTTAAACCTGTTTTTCAGGCTCTTTTTAAAGCTTTGGGATTAAATGAAGTTGACTACAAGTTTGGGCTAACAAAAGTGTTTTTCAGGCCTGGCAAGGTAAATATGTACTTATTTTAATCTGTAACATATGATAGTCGGGCTTGGTATGTATTTTTTTTAGTTATTAGTGATTGATGTTATGGCTACATTACATATAACACTGTTAAATTATGTTTCCATTCACATAGTTTTCCTGTTTGGGGGCGTTTCATATTCTGAGTTTAAATTTTAGTTTTAATAGGTATTGGAATCCGAGTGTTGTTGAATTTTTTTCTTAAATAAGAAATAACCAAATATCTCTAACATTTAAAATGAATTGAAGGCATTTTTTGACTCTTTTAATTTATGGGCCAGTTAGATAGCTCAGCGTGTAACCCACGCTGGCCTGACATGCTCTGTCCTCTTGCCCCAGACTGCTGAATGCTGGGAGTGTAAGCTGGTGCTGCTCTCCTCGGTGAGGGGTCTTTGCATGCTGCAGCCCTCATTGTGAACAAGTTTCACTGCAGTCTTGTAGTGAATTCCATATGAAACTGGACTGGAGTCTGTACTGACTGTTGACAAATTTTACAGTGAAGGCGTGTATAAACACTGCATATCTTAGGTTGTGCGTTTTTGACTAACATAGTACTTCACTGAGATATTCACTGAATGTAGAATACTTCATTACTGTATTATATATAACAGTGTGTAGCCCTAACTAATAACCCTAACCCTTACCCTAACCCCCTAATGGTAGTCTGTATACAAACACCTAAGGCTGTTCATGTGTTGATATTTCCACATCCCCAACATTTAAAATTTTATGATTAAAAAACCATTCTGTGGATTGGCATGTGACACCTTTAATACTTCAGTGTGATATTTGGGGAAGAATGGAAATAATTCTGGAATTTGGTAGTAAGTAGTAGAAATAATATATTTTATTCATTAGCAGCCAAATATTTATTGCCTGTGTGTGGTCTGTTTCCTGGTTTCTTGTTTTTGTCTAAAATGGGGGTGGGTGTTTGGAGAGACAATACTTTTGGTGACTCACCTGTACAGATGACCTTCACTGTCAAGAGCTGTGGTGGTGTCCGAGAATGTGGTTGAACTGGCTCAGACATGTTAGCCCTTTTCAACATTTTTCCTCAAATGTCTCTGTAATTAGTCATTTAAGAGTTTTTCCTATTCCTATTTTGCGGCTACTTAGGATTAGGTAACCTTCCTAAGCTCCAAAAAATTGCTAATGGACAAAAGAAAGGGGTCATGAAATATGGCCAAACAAGTTTAAGCTTTCTGTTTACCCTGTTAAGATGTCCTTGGGTTTGGCTTTTAATGGTTTTCAGGAAGTTAGATTTGGGACTTGAAATCCATGTATTTTATTTTCTCTCTATTTGAACACATTTACCCTTTAATGCTGACACTAAGTTATCTCACTCCTAGTTTGCAGAATTTGATCAGATTATGAAGTCTGACCCTGATCATTTAGCAGAGTTGGTAAAAAGAGTCAATCTTTGGCTAGTCTGTAGTCGCTGGAAGAAAGTTCAGTGGTGTTCACTCTCAGTCATCAAACGTAAGTATTTTCTCCTTGGCATAGTGTCATGTTTTCTAATCCCAGTGCTTATTGGCAGATTGGGGGTAAAAGAATAGAGAGTTCAAGGCCTCAGGTTGGAGAGATGGCTCAGTGGTGAGAGCATGGTTGCTTTTCCCGAGGACCTGGTTTTGATTTCCAGCACCCACATAGCAGCTCAGAGCTGTGTGCAATTCAGTTCAGGGGATCCATTGCCCTCTTCTGGCATCTGCAGGCATTGCATACACAGGCAGGCTAACCATCCATACCCAAAAGAAAATTATAGAAAAAGAAATTTCAAGGTCTTCTGGGCTACACAGTTAGACTCTGCCTCAGCAACAACAACAACAACAAAACAAAGTCCTCAGCAAACTGTGTTTTATTTTACATCAAAGTTTGTTATTTTGGCAGTGAGATGGTTTGAGGGATATGGTGAGACTGTCCCATGGATGCTGCTGGGCAACTTTGGTTCTTGTGTCTGATGGAATGGTTCCCTGGTACTTCAGCTGGCATTTGTAGACTTTTATTTTTTGAAGGTCTGATGATATGTTCTAGGAGTGTTAATTTCATTATTGTCTTAAGCAATATAGAATTACTCCCTTCTTTTTCCCCTTTCTCTCCTTGACCCCCAACACCTCCCCATTTTCCCCAATTTTAGCTAAGGCTATTCTCCCTCTGCCTAAATGGCATATGTATTAGGTATTCTCAGTAGATGATTTGTGCTCTGACTCTCTGTGTCCTTAGCTCCCCTCTCCCCCAATCTATTTAATTTGAAGTGCTGTGTATTGAACTCTGGGCCTTGCAAATGCTAAGCAAACTACACCCCTGGGTAATGTCTCTCTTTTCTTATTCATGAAATCTCATTAGTTATCAAACTATATTGATTTTTGCCTTTGGATAGTGTAAGCCTTTATTTTCAATGTCAGTACCTTAGGGTGACCTCTTTTCATCACTTACACAATAACTTCATTAGCTCCAAAAATTGTTTACCAGTCCCCCACCGCACTTATCTTTTTTAACTCCCAAACTCTTGCAGCCTCCCTCCAATAGCTGGCAAAGAGCCAATCCTAGCTGCTCTCTCTAGACTGTCATCCTTGCAGCCTCTCAGCTCCTCCCCTCTCAGCCTCACGTCAGTACCCTGGACCAAGCTGAGCTTGAGTGTATTTCTGCCAGCTTGTAGCAGCTGCTTACTTCTGGCCCAAGACACGAGTGAGTGCGAATACTTTGATTACTTGGAGGTCTGTGGTGAAAGTTTAACGTTGGGAGCTGTGTGGGAATTGGTCACCATGCTCCCATACTTACCAGAGTCCTTGAAACAGTACTGCATGTGTGGCAGGACTTAGCAGAGAAATCTTCACTAATGGAGGAGTAGAATTCACTTGGCCTAGCACAAAGGAACTAGGCACATTATTATTGAGACCTTTTGTTAGACAATAGTGCCTATTTATAAAAAAAAACTATAATAAAAAGACAACAGAACCTTTTCCCCATTATTTTCCAAGTAAAATATAAAAGTTTCCCACAGGCTCAGTGCTTTCAGCTTTATCCATAGTGCATTTTAGAGAAAAATATATGTTATTAAACTACTGTGCCACACACCCCACTTGTGGACCGTGTTGTAAAGACACACCAAGGTCATTTACCAGATAAGATCTTTACAGAATGTTAACTGGGAGGCTCTAAAAAAATCTACGTTCCAAGTATGCTAGGAAATTCTAGACACCAGCAGTTGCAAAGTTCCTTTACTGTAGGACTTTTAGATACCATACCTATAATGTTCAATATGAATTTCCAGAAGGAATTCATTTGGCAGGTTAACGTTTTAAAAAAGATATAATATTTAGTAGAACATCTAAGAGAAATATGGCCCAGGAAAGTTTATTAATAGTAGTGTTGCATATTGCAGAATACATTTGAAATAAAATGCTAGCCACATCCATCATTTTATTATTATTATTTTTAAGAAGTTAAAGGAACTTTAGACTTCCTGCCTCTGATCACTGGAATCACATATTCATCAAGATTTTATGATAATTGCTTTGTGGGAATGAATGAGTTTTTAATTTATGTCCTATTTAAACCAATATTTTTCTGTCATTTTATTTCACTCTTACACATAGTGAAAAACAAAATAAAGTATCGAGCTGAAGCGTGCATTAAAATGCAGAAAACCATTCGAATGTGGCTTTGCAAAAGGAGACACAAACCACGGTAAGATGAACAGTGTCTGATGATCTATACAGCACAGTATAACATGGCAGAGAAGTCTTGATGAAGAGCGACTGGGTCCCGTTTCCTTTGCAAACGGCTTGTTTGAGCCGTGGATTTGGAATCGGCTCATTCGTTACTTAGCTTGGTGTTCTACTACAGGGTTTGAGTAGCTGGCAGAGATGGGAACACTGAAAGATTGCAGTGCAAAACTGAGAGAGACTGCCATTCTGTTTACTGTGTGATTTGAGTTTCTTTTGTTTTTTTTTTTTTTTGTTCGAGACAGGGTTTCTCTGTATTGTTTTGGAGGCTGTCGGTCCAGCCCAGCCTCGAACTCACAGAGATCCTCCTGTCTCTGCCTCCCGAGTGCTGGGATTAAAGGCGTGCGCCACTACCGCCCGGCCTGTGATTTGAGTTTCTTGATAATGCCAAGTCAAATGCTGTTTTGGAAGACACCCAATAACTTGGTCATAATTTTCAGGACTGTTCATAAAATAATCTCGTTTTTGCTCATGTATCATTTCACTGTGTGTATTTCATTTTCATCTAACTTAAATTTTTTACTGCCAAGTTATTTTTTAAGCTTTGGAAGTTTGACTGGCCTCGGTCTTATTGACGACCATCAGTGCTATTCATATGTGTATTTGATTCTTTTCATACTTAATGCGAGACCTGAACAGACTACTAAACAATACTGAAGACAGCAGTAGCCTGCCCATTTAGCCACAGAGTTCACTGTCTATTGATGAGAGTCTTCCCTAGAACACTGGCTTGTGAGGTAACTAGCTGATGGAACTTTACTGTTGCAGCATTGATGGCCTGGTTAAGGTGGACACCCTGAAGAAACGACTCGATAAGTTCAATGAAGTAGTAAATGCATTGAAGGATGGGAAGCCGGAGATGAACAGAAAGATCAAAGATCTGGAAATTTCTATTGATGCTTTGATGGCCAAAATTAAGGTGGGTCGTTTTAATCTAGCTTCTTCGAACTTTTAAAATATAATTTGTTTTTTGTTATTGATATTGAACTTATGTGGGAAAATATCCTTATTTATTCAAGATATGAAACATTAGCAAGTGGATACCCACATTAATCTTTTCTTAACATGTGAGATTTCTTTATGTGATTTTTATCTGTTGTTAAGCAAACTATTACCCTGTAGAGAGTAACTAAAATACTAAGTTTTGTTGTTAAGCTTTTACAGTCATTATTCAGAGAGGGTTAATGTGAATAATTTTTCTTATGCTTTTCTACTTTCCAGAACTATTTTTTCTTCTACTGTATTCACTTTTCTTTCTGGTGGTTCTGGGGTTTGAACAAAGTGCATTGAGCATACTCTTCTACTGAGCTGTGTCCTCAGGCCCCAGAAATGAAGCTGCTAATTATAAAAGTAATGTGTCAGTGTTGAAAATGCAGCAAGTCACTCAATACTCTTTCGTGGCACCACACTAAGCATTCGGCGAATATATGTTACTATTTCCTTTATAATCATACTTTGTATGCATACATTTTCCCTGCTCCCATCCCTGTATGCATACATTGTTACATAGTTCTCCGTTATTAATCATGTTTGTCACTTTGTATCTCTGCTGTTAGGATACATGATTTGTTGTGGTTAATACATTACCTTCATAATTTACTTAGCTATTTTAAAAGTAGCAATTAGTTTTCTTCATTTTAAAGGAAAAAGTGAGGCTATTTTAGGTTTGATATTTCAGTTGCTTGAGTATTAATGTGACTGAAAATATTTTCTATAATGCTTGTTACCATATTTCGTCTTTTTCAACCTCCTCAATTATGTATTAGGATTTTTACAGCTTTTCTCAAGTAGCACTCAAAAGTCAATGCACTTAAATTAAGTCTTTCGTTGTTCCTATAGACAGTTAAATATTAGAGGTAGAAATAAAAAAATAATGAAGAAAAGGATAAAAAGCACTAGAGTAGATTTTGATTTTACAGATCAAAGGTGAGACTGGTTTATGAGGTTATCATCATCAATCAAAATTAACCCAGGAAAATCATCGCACAGGTTTAGATGTAATTTCCCAGCATTCCGTAGGTACTAACGGATGATGTACATAAGCCAGCTGGCTAAATGAGATAGTCATTCCTTAAAAATACTTCAAAGCTACATTTATATAACTTTGTTCCAGCATGCTACAGATATTGATGGCTTGTTTGACAAAACCTAGAGTCAAGAATTGTGTGTGGAGAGAGCTTTCAGTGAATATGGGACTAGCTGGACACGATGGTGTATACCTATAATCCTAGTGTTTGTGAGGTTCCTGATCTTCATAGCTAGTTCAAGATTACCCTGGGCTACATGAAACTGTTTAAAAAACAAATATGAACATGGTTTTGTTGGTCAGTTTTGCCAACTGTTTATATGTATCTTGGGGGTTTTTTTTGTTTGTTTGTTTTTTATGTGAAAACCCCCAAACCATGGAGCTTATCACGGCAACCGTTTTAAAGCGCACAGTTGGGTAGCGTTAAAGCATATCCACATTGTGCAGGGGAGGTGACGTCTTAAGTACATGTTTGTTATTTGACTTTTTCAGTCCACCATGATGACGAGGGAACAAATACAGAAAGAGTATGATGCACTAGTTAAAAGCTCAGAAGATCTCCTCAGTGCACTGCAGAAAAAGAAACAGCAAGAGGAGGAGGCGGAGAGGCTGAGGCGCATTCAAGAGGAGATGGAGAGAGAAAGGAAGAGGCGCGAAGAAGATGAGCAGAGGCGGCGGAAGGAGGAGGAGGAGAGGCGGATGTAAGACACTTGCATTGTTCTCACTACAGGGTGATAGGTGATGGCTGTTCTCAAGCTATATCCTACTCGTATCTCTCTCTCTCTCTCTCTCTCTCTCTCTCTCTCTCTCTCTCTCTCTCTCTCTCTCTCTCTCTCTCTCTCTCTCTCTCTCTCTCTCTCCCTCCCTCCCTCCCCCCCCCTCTCTCTCTCGTGACAGGGATTCAGAGTGTAGCCCAGGCTGGTCTGGAACTCTCATCCTCCTGCTACAACCTTCTGAGTGAGCAATATACTTACACGCCAACATGCCTGGTACAAATCAAACAATTTTAGAATGAGTTTGTCAAAAATTTAATCCTCATTTTACATAGTTACATGAAGTTGTTAACTACAGGTTGGGTGTTCCTAGTCTGTAAATCTAAATACTGAAAAGAAATCTAAAGTCTGAAATTTTTTATTACGTGTGTTTGCGCGAGCGCGTGCTCTTTGCCGTGGTGTACATATGGAAGTCAGAGGGCAGCTTGTGGGGCTGGGTCACTCATTCGCCACGTGGGCTCTTGGGATCGACAGCATCAGTCTTGGCAGCAAATGCCTTTACCTTCTGAGCCGTCTTGTTGGCCCTAAAGTCTGAAACTGTTTGTGTGACTGGTGTCACAAAAACTTAATTTAATACAATCTAGCTGTATTTTATTCTTTGGCTTTTGGAGACAGGGTCTTCGTAGCCCTGACTGACTTCCATTTTGCTAAATAAATCAGACTGTTGTCAAACTTGTAGCCCTCCTCTTGCTAGTCTCTTGGTGCTGTATTTAAGGCATTGAGCTGCCCTGCCCAGAAAATTTGTTTTATAACATATTAACCGTACATATTAATGGGATTCGTTTGATACATGTATAGGGTGCATTTGACATGCCCACCCATTCCTTTTCTCCCCGTCCCCATCTCTTCACCTGGCAAGCACTCTTCAGCATCCCTGGAAATCACTATTCCACTTTCAGGTAGAGTTCTCCCTTTCTCCTAGGTTTCCCCATAGGAGAGAACACACGGTTCCTGTGTTTCTTCCAAGTCTGGCTTATTTCACTTAACATGATGCCCTCCACTCCCACGCAGCTTGCTGCAGATGGCAGGGTTTCATTCTTCACCCCCTGCTGTGCTCCTGGGCTGATTCCGCATCCTAGTTACTGTGACTACGTGGGCATGCAGGCCGCCCTTTTATACACCAACTTCATTTCCTTGGGCTGTGAACTCATCGTTACCAACTTAATCCAGAAGTGCTTTAAGTCATGAAAGATGATCGTATTTGCTTTGCTTAAGAATTGTTTAGGGGAGCTAGACTTTATGATATTTGAACCTAGTTGATGATGTGTGGGTCCTAGGCTGGTTCGTTTTGTCTCCCGAAGGACTTCTCATAGCTAAAAGTTTGAAGAGTTCTCTCTCCCGTTCTCAGGAAACTTGAGATGGAAGCGAAGAGAAAACAAGAAGAGGAGGAAAGGAAGAAGAGGGAAGACGATGAGAAGCGGATCCAGGTGTGTGCTGATTGGATGTATTTGTAGCAAACAAAGTCTTCAAGAAAGAACTGAAGTGAAGCCCTGCGTTGCCCAAGTAGCTATCCCTGGTTTATCCCGGGGGTTAAAGGTCAATTCTGAAGGGATCGTGGGGTGGGGTTTTGGTGCTAGAGAAGTGAGTTTAAATCTAGGCCTTATTACCGACAAAAATGATGATATATATATATATATATGTATATATATATATATATATATCACAATGAATTTCTGTCTGGGGAGTGGGGATAAGTGATAGTTTTTTTTTTTTTTCATTTTTCAAAACAGGGTTTCTCCTTATTGTTTTAGAACCTGTCCTGGAACTCACTCTGTAGACCAGGCTGGCTTCTCACAGAGATCCGCCTGCCTCTGCCTCCCAAGTGCTGGAATTAAAGCACCACTCCCACCTGGCCCTCAGCTCCCAGTTTTTAGAGTCCCGTCTGAGAGTGGTTGATCATGTTTCTCTTGTCTGGCTTTCATAGTACATGCTTGCAGGTGTTACCATCATCCAGTCCGCACCCAGATGCTCATGTGGCTCTGGGGATACTCATGCTGGGCCACAGAATGGTGGAGCTAAGCAGCTCCTCCCGCTGTTTGGTACTGGGGTGGTGAAGCATTAATGATACCATGGCGGGTGTGTAGGAGTGAGAGACTGTGTTTAAGCAGTGTCTGTTAGCAGAGCATCTGGCCCGGACCACTAAGCTTTCCTTTTGTTTGAGGTAGTAATTTTTATTAGGAAGAGCTCTTGTTAGTTGACTTTCTGTGCTACAGGCTGAGGTGGAGGCCCAGTTGGCCCGACAGCGGGAGGAGGAGTCCCAGCAGCAGGCGGTCCTGGCACAGGAGTGCAGGGACAGGGAGTTGGCCCTGCGCATCGCCCAGAACGAGTCGGAGCTCATCAGTGACGAGGCGCAGAGTGACCTGGCGCTGCGAAGGTACTGGGACTCTGGGTGGACCCTCATCTGGGCTTTCTTGACCTTCTTCCTGCTTCTTCTCTTCTCTGTTTGAGGAGGGAGAGAGCCTTAGGTTTTAGGTTTTGACATATTTGAAGTAAAACCATTTTAAAATTAGTTGGGTTTACTTTTGTACTCAATTGAATGAAACGATTGATTTTCCATTTAGCTATTGAACTGTTAGAACATAAAACTCCAGTTTTCAGTTAATGACTTTTCTATTAAGAACAAAACTCAACTTCATTTCTGAAATTGTTTAAGGGTATTGTGTTCTGGGTAGAGATTTAGTTTCTAAATACTTGTTAAATACTGACATAGAAGGTAGTGGCTATATTGTAACACAGCTTAATATATATAAAGTAGGGGTTCTTCAGTTTCCTTACACAAATTTGAGACACCACACCACATTTTTTCTTTTTGGTTTTACAAGACAGGGTTTCTCTGTATTGTCTTGGAGGCTGTCGGTCCAGCCTGGCCTCGAACTCACAGAGATCCGCCTGCCTCTGCCTCCCGAGTGCTGGGATTAAAGGCGTGCGCCACCACCGCCCAGCTCCACACCACATTTTTAACACTTGCAGTCAGGTGCAGTTTGCCCTCCTGCACCTCAGAACGAGAGCTATTCCTTTACAAGGAGGAAAGCCAGTCTTACAGAATTATTTTGGTTCCTTAGATTCTGAATTGTGTCTAGCGATTATGGTAGTTTGGAGCAGTATGGGTGTTCTTAATAGCTGGCGTTAAGTTGCAGACAAGTTAATATTTCTCATTTAAGAATTTTAGAATGTATAAGCAGTTATTTTGATTATTCATTTAAAAAGGCCAAACAAATTTGTGAGGGGTATATACTTTCTATATCTTGAGAGGTGTGAATACATGGTTTCAGCACAGTATCCGGGATATATTAAATTGAAACCACTAGATGGCGCTATTTGCTTGTGAAAGGAAAAGGCAGTGCCATTCAGATGGTTAGATTTTATTTAGCTGTAAAGATGTTTTTGTTCATTTGTCATCACAAGTTTTTCCAGTGTGTGATTATGTAAAAAGCTGTGGAGTTTGAACCGTATATGAAAGTATATGATATTGTAAATGAGATGACTATGACTGTACCTGCAAAAGTGGCTATAATAATTACATAAATTATATACGTGACTTCTGCTGTACTAAACATTTCTTAGTTACTTTTCCAGCTTAAGTTCCTGTTCAGCAACGGCTAAGTAAGATTTATTTGCACACATGTAATATGTTTTCAAATATCATCTTAATTCATTACACTTATGATCCTTGACGCAAACTGATAACTTCAAATCACATGAAATTGTAGAGATACCCAAATTTCTATAAACACCGAATCACACAGGATATGAATGTCTGAATTTTCCTATCTTAATGTATTTTCTCTTTAATTTTTACTAATTCCATTAATTTATTATTTTCTAATCCTTCCAATGACTATTTTAAAAACACCTTGAAGCCTTAATGATCTTACATAGATTAAATATAACTTGTATCTTTAAATCAATACGTAATTAGAACTCAAATTTATACAATCCAGATTTTTTTACAATTGAGCTAGTGGTGATAATAACCAAAACATATTCTTTTCACAGAGCTAATGGAACAAGACCCCAAATGACACCGTATGTCGTTCTCTTCGTCTCTTTAAAGATTGGGCTCCAGTTTTTGAGGCATAGTTCCCCTTTGGAGAAAATTTTAAATTGCTTCCTTTAATCAAAAGACAATGAAATAATTTTCAACTTTTTTCTTGCCTACGGGAGTGTTTGGTGCTCAGCCGTAGTAGTTTATGAACTGCTCTCCCTTTTTTCTGTTGTTGTTTCAATTTTAATACCAACTTGTTTTATGTGCTATAAATTCTCTCTAGCATCTTTATAGCATATGTGGAAGAGTAAATAAGAATAAGTGAAATACTTAGCTTTCAGGGTATATAATGATTCATTCTGCTAATCCATGAAATGGGTCTCCATCTGAGGTTCATATGTAATACTCCTTTTGTTGTTAAGTTTCCCCAGAGAGGCTCTTAATAACACTGGAAAATGACAGAGCATACTGTACACTGCTATAAAATATTTAAGGATGTTTATATGACCTGAATTTTAACTGCATTAAGCTGGTTCTCGACTATACTGGACCACATCACCATGAGCAGGTGTTTCATAAATAACACGGACTGTGTCAGCAGCTGTCCTGAAAATACATGTAAAAGGGAAAGGAGAGCCATTCCCAATGAAACATTACTTATGGTGTTGCATAGTTGCTATGGAAGACATGATCCAAATCAGATTTTCTGCTTACACAGAGTCACCATGAATACTGTAGCTAGAAATGCAAACCGATAGGAAACTGTCCCACAAGCTCTAATGCCGCAGCATCAAGAACAGTCCTCTTCAGAGTCTCAAACAAAACTAGGCATAATCTCTTCTCAGTTATACAATGTTTGCATCTGCATAAAAAGCTGCTATTAAAAAATAAAAATTGTGCATTAAACCTATGCAGAAATGCGTTAACATTTACAACTATTTACATGTAAAATATATTTTTGTGTGTCTGCTTCACTTTTATGTGCCTGGCATACATGTTGATCTTATGTGGGTCAGAGGAGAGTTCCTGTGCAGGACACATGTTCCTGACCCGACATCTCAGCAGGCACCAGGAGTGCAAGCTGGCAGCATTGTTATTACCTCAGCCCCAGCCAGGAACTTAGAATACTCGCTGAGTGGCCACGGTTTGCACTCCCTCCATGAGAACATCTGCTTTAGAGTTGTCCATTGAACTTGTCAAATAAACACTGTAATTAATGTCAGAGGTGAAACCCAAGCATTTGCAGGTAGCTCAGCGCTGCCAGAAGGCGAAAGTGCCTAGGTGCAGGGGCCAGTTTGCTCAGCGAATCTCATGCAGTTGGTATCGAATCTGGTGTAAAATGTTGGTGAGAGTCAGGGAGGAGAGTTGACTTGGTAGAAGTTGTCTCCTGGTTTGGAGACATTCAGAGACCTCTCTCCGGAAAGTGGTTTGACTCCTTGGGGACCTGCTGTGAATAAAGAGAGGGAACTCGCCTTAGAGAAGGAGATGGTAAACACAGACAGAAACTTGGAGGCAGGGAGACAATAGAATTACAAATATTTTAATAACTATACTTTCAGAAAGTTACACAATTTTGAAAAACTGATAGTATAACTAGAGACATACTATACTGCTGAAAGGATAATTTTATTCGATTACATTTGCATAGTTCATTTTGTGGGTTACATCTTTGCAGGTGTAGTTTTTTCCTACAGTGCTTGTTTAGACAACTCTCCAGCAATACCAAGAGTTGCCAAATCAAATATATATATATATATTAAGGGGCACGCCCCTAGGGAACTGTACCCACAGCTAATACATCCATGTTTTTAAGGTGTGATTTTTATGTTTTTACTGAGTTGAATAGAACACATGTGAAAATGATTAATTATCGGGGAGGGGGAGCAAAGGACAGAGATGAAGCGAAATCAAGAAAGTGTGGGCTTCTTGAACCCCATGAACTATCACCCCGCTTCCCAGAATTGAGCGAATGCTGAGAAAAGTAGCAGTCTCCTGAGCAGTTAAAGAAAGCAGCCTTTCCTTTCAGACTCCCTTGCCCTCGCAAGGTCAGGTCTCATCAGGCATTTCATTTAATAAGCGCCTGTACTGACTGTCTCCTTTTCTTTTTTAAATATGTACTTTGGTTTGGAACTGAGAATCTCTAGACTGTTACTTGAGCACATCAGTTTGGCTTGCCACCACGAAACTTTGCCTAACTAACAAAGATGTACCAAGCATCTTTGCTGCAAAAACCCTTGTAAGGCGCCTGTATCCTGCCAAGTTTTCTGCGTGCCTTTAGAGCGTGCTGTCTATACTCTGCACATAAAAGCTACCACCAAAGCATGGCCCTATTGAAATTATCTGAAAGTTTTTACACAGTGCTAGAGATGTGCTCAAATAACTTTACACTCAAAGATCTTGGTGTGTTTTATGGATAGAACTATGGAAAAGTATGTCATTAATAGTTACCTTACAAAGTAAAATGAGTAGTTACAGTAATGATAATATTAAAAATTAATTATATTTTTGTATATTTTCAGCAATTTATGTCATGTGCCTTATATGTAATTGTGTTATAATATCACTTTTTTCTTGTAGGGAACAAATGGCCAAAGAAATGTCAGAAATTTTGAGTAGGTTAGTGCAGTGTTTTTACACAAATAAGTATTTACTATAAAAATCATATTTTTTAATTCCTTTTGATTATCTGGACTAGAGCCTGTCATATGACTGGCTCACTCATTTCCTTAGTAAAATTTCTGTATGAGAAATACCACCCTAACACAGAAAGAAGCAACATTCTTATAATCTGTGTTTCTCACCGGGGAAGCAGCTGGCATATTGGATGGGACAAGTCTTCATTGATGCTGGGCTGGCTTTCCCTCTCTTTCCCATGGGACGGGTACCTTGGAACAACCCCACCCCGAGATTGGAGTGCTACTCCGAGTTTGGGAGCCACATTGCCTATCTGAGGGGGATGTAGAGTAAGGGTGACTCCTCAACATGAATGCTAGTTTAAAATCCACTGGTGCAAATTGAATTTTCAGATAAAATCACCTCCTGCTGATATCTAATCTATAATTTTGGTTTGTTTTTGGGTGTGAGCCTAGCCTTTAATGGCTGCTCCATCTCTCCACCTCTAATCCATAATTTTTTAAAAGTATATTTGAATCAATAATATTTTGATAACTTTTTTAAATTTTCAAAATTAATTAAAGTGCTAAGTTAGTAGGTCTTAAAAATCAAGTAAATTCTATTACTGTTTTAATGTTTGTATGATTGTCTTTATGATAAGGTTAATCAATAGATTATACTTTTGTTTTACTGTTTTAATAATTCAGAGATGGGGAGGGGAACATTTTTATGCATTGAGTTCATTTACTTCTAACTCAAATACACTTTTAGCAGATTTAGTAATATGGATGAAAAGATAGGGTTATGTCTTATGCAACAATAATTTGAATTCAGTGTTATCTTCAGAATGTATCAAAGCATAACGCACACCTGCAAACACATATGCATATACTTATGTCTTATGTATATTTGACCATCAAACTATATATTATGAAGCTGACTTCCTTTTTTAAAACAAAAGAAAAGGAGGAAAAACACTCACAATTATTTTCAGTTATCGTGTTTATTTACCATACCGTGTGTTCCTTCTTTCCATGTTTGGAAATCTGATGTGTCTAACATCTCTCTTTGTTATATTGATCTTAGAGTAAACCGTGAATCTTGAATCTGAGTGCCTGCCTGTTGGTCAGTGTATTTCTTGTTTAAATATGTAACATCTACGATTGCAGAGGTCCTGCTGTACAAGCTACGAAGGCAGCTGCTGGCGCCAAGAAACATGATCTCAGCAAATGGAAATATGCAGAGCTACGTGACACAATCAATACTTCTTGTGGTAAGTGAGTGGAGAAGATGAAGAGGAGGGGTCCATACCGGTAAGATAAATACTTAGATTGGGGTGGTATGTGTGTGCGTGCGTGTATGTGCGCGCACTCGTGCGTACAAAGTGCCTACATCAGTGTATCAGTGTATTTGCTCCCTTGTTTGTTCCTTTGAAAATAAGCACACAAATTATGTACATATTCTAGTTTCTCTCTTGTTGCTGTGATGAAATGCCCTGACAAAAAGGATGCCAGGGGAGAAAGGGTTTATCGTAGCTCATGGCTTCAGGTTACAGTCTGTCACAATGCAGGGCCATCAAGAGCAGGAAGAGCAAACGCACACATGTACTTGTCTTGCTTGCCCACTCATACCCAGTCCTGGTTCAAACCCACGGGATGCTGGGGACCATGGTGAGCTGCGCCTTCTCACCTTGTTAATGCAGTCAAGACAGTCTCCCACAGCCGCGTCCACAGGCAGACTAGCCTGATCTAGACAGCGCCTCATTGAGACTCTTTCCCAGGGCATTCTAGATTGTCTCAGGGTGACAATTAAAATCAGCCATCTCAACATTTTGCCCATTTCCTACCTACGTCACAGAAAAGGGACAAATGCAAATTATGACTTGGGCTATATTAATGACTGGTTCTACTAATGCTTATTGTAATGGTTAAATCCTTGGATATCGGAATCTTCTCTTCTATGAATCCAGATAATAAATAGCAACGTAGCGATTTCTTTTTAAATTGTTTTCCCCCCAGTCTCACACAGAGTCTTGGCTAAACCACAGTGTTTAAGGTCAGAACACTGCCTAGTGATGGAAGCATCTTCATTGGAGAGTTCTTGCTGTGTTCTCATCCTCACTGGGTACAGCATCTTATAAAAGTGAAAAGTGAGGTGCATTTAACCCTTGCTTGGATTTGAGCACATTTTCCTCTTCAAAACCTTTCTGATGCAATCTCTTCATATAAAAACACCTATTTATTCAAGAGTTCTTGAGTTTAACAAATGATATAGGATAGTAATAATATGTGAGTAATAATTCGTAAATGGGAAAGATTGTGAAATGTTCACCTTCAGCTTACTTTTTATCTTGTACTATAAACTAAAATCCCAAGACATGGGATAATCATGTCAGATGAATAATTTGAATAATTGAAGATGTTGGAATTTTTTCTCTCTATGTAACCAATAGACATTGAGCTCCTGGCAGCATGCAGAGAAGAATTTCACAGGAGACTGAAAGTGTACCATGCCTGGAAATCCAAGAACAAGAAGAGAAATACTGAAACAGAGCAGCGGGCTCCCAAGTCTGTTACTGATTATGGTAAAAACAAATCTGTACTTTTCAATGTTCCCAGTATATCATATATAAATGCGTGTAACTATACATGGTTTTTGTGAGTAAAATAGTCAACATAGATTTCTCACATTATGATCTAGTGAACATGATACAACCATGATCACCAGTCTTATACGAAATTATACAATATTAAGTGCATAGTCCCACACAAACACACACACACACATCAAAATTATGTGAGGCGGCTGGTGCATAGTCACACACACACACACACACACACACACACACACACACACGCACACATCGATATTATGTGAGGTGTCTGGTGCATAGTCTCACACACACACACACACATCGATATTATGTGAGGCGGCTGGTGCATAGTCACACACACACATATACACACAGACACACATACACACATCGATATTATGTGAGGCGGCTGTGATATGTTGGGTTCACTGTTTGCCTAGCGTGTGCTGTTTTCAACATTGCAAAAAGTACAAATACAAACAAAAACGGTTAGATGTGAAAATGTCAAGGTTACTATGATCAGTTCCCTCTGGATGCTCATCAGTGTACATATGAAAATTAGCATTTTTATATTACTAACCAGGGCCTTATTTTTATTTTCTATTTTTTCAATTTTTTTTTGTTTTGTTTTTTGAGACAGAGGCTGTCCTGGCACTCGTTCTGTAGACCAGGCTGGTCTCCAACTCACAGAGATCCGCCTGCTTCTGCCTCCAGTGCTGGGATTAAAGGCATGTGCCACCAATGCCTGGCTTTAATTTTTTGAAATTTAATCTAGCTTTTAGAGTAGTTTCTCAAATAACCAAATATATTTTTAGTAGAAGGTATACATCCCTTCTGGTGCCTTCCCTGGGATAATAGCCTAGAAAAAGAAAGAATTGGTTCTTGTATTTTCCACCATCATGCTATTGTCCTATTTAAAAAAGGTTCACCACAGATTTTATTTTTGAATACTGTGAGTTTTGCCTAGATGGAGAAACCAAGTATTCACTTGAGCCAGAAAGTGGGGCAGGGCAGCCTCACCAGAGCATGGCAGACCGTCACAATGGCTCAGATGACCTGTAATGTGAGTTAGATCTAAAGTTTTTAGACAAGATTTGTTTTTATTGTGTGCATGGGTGTTTTTTCTGGATGTATGTGTGTGCACCACTGGTGTGCAGGCCAGAGGAAGGCATTGGATCCCCTGGAACCAGAGTTACTGGTGATTCTTAGTTGCTATGTGTGGGCTGGGTATTGAACCTTGGTCCACACAAAGAGCAGCCAGTGCTCTTAACCACTGAGACATCTCTTCAGCCCCAGCTTTTCAAAATTTAAACCAGCAACTAGAATTTCATTGGTCACCTTGGTATTTTTATACCATCACAATATTTCTTAATTCAGATTAGCATCAAAGACAACATGTGACCGGCCATGTGGTTTACCAACATATCGGGTTTGAGTTCTCAGGTGTGACTTTAAACACTCACTACTTTCCCAGGAAATAAGCAGTATTTGAGAAAACTCAGTTAGTGGTAGGACCTCAGTGTTTCTCAGTTGCTGCAAAAGAGTTACTGAGGTCAACATGGTTAACAAGGAAGACAGTGCCAGTGACCGTTCAGGGGCGGTTTTCAGTGGATCATAATAGGATGAGGGCATGGGCTCATCCGTAGCTGAGATATGGTAAGTTTCAAAGGTGAAAGCGCCAGTGAAACACTTCAGGGTTTTCTCTGCATATTGAAAATGACAGTATGGCTCTGTGACCTGTTCATTATTTATGTATTGATTTTTGCCACAAATCATGTTTGCTTTGTATACACCCCCCCCACACACAAGAAAAGCCATGGGCTCTCCCTTTAGCTCTACTATTCTTCCTTGTGAACATTCTATGATTGTCTGCACCTTGACAGATTTTCATTGTCTTATAAATGTACACATCTGAGTCAGAACACCACAAAGGAAAAGGTTTGCAAATACTTCATGGAGTTTTTTGCTATTTTTTTTTAAACTCTACTTTTGTTCCCAAATGGAGTAAATAACGTCTTTCTGCTGTAAGTACAGTTTTAGGTTTGGGAAATTTCTTATGAGTCCTATCCAGGAGTAAAAAAAAATGAACTTAAGAATTTTATGCAAATCAATCAATATGTTAAGATTCAGAAATTTTGATTATGAGTCATTTTCACCACAAAAATCTACTTCTGCCTGTCAAGTATTTATCATGCTTTTCTCTGTGTATTTTTTCTTCTTCTTATACAATTCAGCCTGGTGGAGGAACGTAGCTGAAAGGAAAGGTGGAAGGCATCCAGATATTTCATAGGTCAATGGAGAGAACTCCGTGCTGGGTAGTCTTTATATTTAGAAGTATTGGAATTCATTTGAAAACATGAAATGAGGACACTTTATAATTTGCAAAAACAAAACCTGATGTCATTGAGAATGAGAGTAATGAGTTGATAAACTGGTAAATTTCTACAGCGATGAGTAAGAAGCATCAGTTCCCTTTCCTGGGCTGTCTGAGCATGCTCTCATCTCATTTAACATACCAAGAGATCTTCATAAATAATTTTGGACAGTGGCAAATCACCCAGTGAACATTTATAATTGCTTCAAACCATGGGTTTTGGAAATCATTTAATCCAAGTTTTTAAAACAGAAATGGCACAAATTTAAGATTTAAGAAATTTGAAGAAATTATTAGAATATGTTGACTGTCTAAAAATAGTACTGTTTATTTTTATTAGTTAGATTTTTTACGTCCCAAAAATTATAAATGAAGTATAATTTTAAAATTTCATTACTCACCACCTGTGCCTCAATCAGAATTTCCTAAAGTATAATTAATTAAAGCATCTTTACTCCCTCCCTCTCTTCTTTTCTTTCTTTCTTCTATGCTTTCTAAAACATTTTTAAAAATCAGAACATCATGTGCATATAGACAAGTCTTTGAGTTCTTTGCTACAGATAGAAAATTTCCATTTTGGTCACCACCTCAATTGATGCAACACATTTATTTATGAATGAGAAAAATGCTCATTTAACAGCTTTGGCATTGTCATATTTTCTTCAACATGCAATATTTGTTCACAGATTTTGCACCATTTTTGAACAATTCACGTAAGTCAATGGGTGGTAACTCATGAGCTAACTGGAAAGAGGGCTTAAACTACTTTCTAGAGTACTAACTTTCTGCCAAACACTGTTTTGCTACGTTGTAAGTGGAGTTGTAGTATATCAAAGATTCCTGCCTGCATTAAGGTATATCTTAATTTGAGATATGATCCATTTTCTCAGATAGATCCAAAGCATGTGGGCTGAACAATGATTGAATAAATGATGGTATCATCTGCCAAATTTCATGCATTTAAAACTGGGTGTGTACACCTCTTACTGTAGCAAAATGCTGTCTTCACTTCCCAGCTGACCCTTCTAGAAGAAAGACTAACTCTTAGGTGCTGGGTGCAGATGCTGCGCTGTGATGGTACCTGTGTTTCTGTCCAAGGAGATTTGAGTTCTTTGTAGTAATAAGCACCAGTTTAATAATGACAGCTGCTAGCAGAGAGAGGGAGAAAATTTCCTGTGTTAAACATCTCCTTCCACACCTTAGAAAATCTGGGTTGCCTTTACCAACAGTAAGTTCCTGGAGTTGAGCAATGAACCAGATGGTGGGGTCTGATTTTTCTAAGTGCTTCTTATAATTTATATTTTTGTTTTGTTGTTTAAGGCATCATCTCACTGTGTAGCTATCCCAGACTGGCCTCAGCCTTCCAAGTACTAGAGCTTATATTTCCTTCCCTCTGATTTTTAAAGTGAACACTGTTGGAGGAAAGCTAACTGTTGAGATTAGTTTCAAGATTTTAATGTCTGGTGATTTTAACTTAATCAAAGTTCATCTTTACTCTTTTCAATATAATTTAAGTCTCTTTTACTCAGCATATTAACTTCAGGAAGCAGTTATTTCAGAAAATAAGTCAATGAATAGAAACTATTAGTGCCCTAGTAAATTTCCAATCACTCACTCACTACCCAGAAGGGTTGGTGTTTTCAAATTATTTATGTACTTAATTTTGGGGCAGGGGTCTCCCTCTGTAGCCCTGGCTGGCCTAAAGCCAATGCACAATGGACAGAACAGGAACAAGAAAACAAACCATCTCGATTTCTATGCGAAAATTCATGCAGGTCCCAATGTCTCTAACAAAACGGGCCCCTCATTCTTTCATAGGCATGTGTGGTCTCCTTATGTGCTTATTTTGCTTTCTCTTATTTGCAAATAGATAAATCTAACTTTCCACAAGCTGTTGCTGTTTCTTGGGGCAAAAACTAGAGCAGGAGTATTTTCATTCTTCTGATGTTTTTGCAAGTTCATAGAAAAGCCCCGTGTGTGGTTTCTATGCATTGTACACTCTTTCATGGGTGCTCTTTGTATTTCATATTGATGTTCTTAGAACTGTAGCAAATTGTTCTACTTTCACAGCTAAGGCACAAAGAATATAAACAGCCTCGCCAGAATTATGCTGCTCAGGATGTAAAGCCATTGCTCCAAGAACGTGTTTCCATTTGCACATTAAATAAAAGCCCAGTCATTCAGTACTGAATTAGCAAGGGTTACGACTAGTAAAAAAGGAAGAATTTGTTTTTCTTCCTATTGGCAAGGGAACTAGTATAGAATACACTTTCCACTTATTTCAGTGGGTTTTCTGCCAAGAGAAATCCCATTTCAAAGTAAATATATTTGAGGAACGGGCCATACTTCCTGTTATAGGTAGGGTTTTGGGGGGACATGTTTCTCTAGATGCTGTTATCTGTGCTATCTTGGCCTTAAAAACCCAAAGTAGGTAAAAGAGAAAAAATATTGAGTTGATTTCTCTTTTTGAGGAAAACATAGTTAGGTGAACAAATCTTTCTCATTTTAAAATTACTATTTATTTAGTTTTAAGTAGTCAAATACAAGTTATTCTTCAACTTTAACTTGAAATCCTATAGGAAATATAATACTAGACTGCTTGCCTGCCATGTGAATTAATTTGGCAGTACTGATAAGTCATTTGTGGGAATCTGGCAAGGGTTTTGTTGCCTCTGGTGGTGGCGGTGGTGATGGTGGTGGCAGTGGCAGCGGTAGCAGCAACAGCGGCGTGTGTGTGTGTGTGTGTACACCATACTTTTGTGTGTGAACGGTGCCTTAGCATGTGTACTGTGTGTGTGCACAATGCTTGAGTGTATGTATGTATATCACTCATGTACACAATGCTTAACTGTGTGTGTGGGCAATGCTTGAAGGTGTGTGTATGTGTACCATGTATGTGCACAGTACTAGAGTGTGTGTGTACTGTGTATGTGCCCATGCCTGGCTATGTGTGTATATATACCATGTGTGTACATGTGCACAATAATTGAATATGTGTGTGCACTGTGCGTAAGCACAGTGCTTGGATGTGTATGAATGTATGCACATTCGTAGTGTCAAGGAACATCTTTCGGCAAAGACAATTATAAGAAATCCCACTCTGAATTTGATTATTAGTAGGCAGCTAATACTGAAATTTGAAATTTAATAGTAGGAACTTCTGTTCTCCCCTCCCTCTTCTAAATGTCTTGGTGTATTTTAGGAATGCTGTCTGTTTTCTTTTCCCACGGGCGGCTGGTGTAACATTGCCTGTTCTGTGTAATAGCTCAGCAGAACCCTGCAGCTCAGCTTCCTGCCAGGCAGCAGGAGATTGAGATGAACCGACAGCAGCGTTTCTTCCGCATCCCGTTCATCCGCCCTGCTGACCAGTACAAAGACCCTCAGAACAAGAAAAAGGGCTGGTGGTATGCCCATTTTGATGGACCGTGGATTGCTCGGCAGATGGAACTCCACCCTGACAAGCCACCCATCCTTCTTGTAGCTGGTGTGTATAATTCACAGGGGGAAAAATCGAGCAAAAAAGAATTGTAAAACCTTGGATAAAGCATTCTAATGTATAATGTAATAAGTCAATCACTGCATTTCAGAGTTGAATGACAGCTTGCAATTCAGTTGCATATCCAGTTAGTGGAAGATTAACTAACTGATTTACAAAACAGCATGGTTTTTATGCCTGTTTAGAGAACATAAAAATATATATCCTATGAAACTTGTCATTGGTGCTTATATCTCTGTCTGTGGTTTTTGTACTAGCTTTGAGGGCATACAGGATATGCCTGATAACTTCTTTGATCAATGGTGGGATTTATACATTTTGAGAATCCTTAGTGGGGGCAATTTTAAGTGATTTCTGGAGCACTTAATAAGATTTCCATCTTAGGGAAATAGTTATAGGTTCTCAAATCTGTGAGAATTGTTGGGTGCTCCAGGAAAAACACTCATAAAAATGCGGTGCAAAGAGATGGTAATTCTGTGATGTCTCCTGTCTGCAGGCAAGGATGACATGGAGATGTGTGAGCTGAATCTGGAGGAGACGGGTCTGACTCGGAAGCGTGGGGCTGAGATCTTGCCCAGACAGTTTGAAGAGATCTGGGAGCGCTGCGGAGGCATCCAGTACCTTCAGAGCGCCATCGAGAGCAGGCAGGCCCGGCCCACCTATGCCACGGCCATGCTGCAGAATCTGCTCAAGTAGACCGCAGGCTTCCAGCCTGGTCCTGGCTCGCACAGGCAGGGAGGTGGTCAGAAGTGTTGCCATTCCCTTGCTCCTGGTAGGACGCCTTATGCAAAGTGAACAGATTTTATTAATCATGGATTTTGTTAATTTGCTCAAGGTTAATTAAGGTTGACGTAGTGGATTCAGGACCTAAAGAGAGAATAGCCCTGGTCCCAGCAGTGACTCCCCACCTCTCGCTGTTCTGATGCTGTCAGCATCCGGGCAGACTCCACACTTCTCACTCTCTGCACACTGACTACCTTAAGTCCATGGTGATTGTTCTCAAGGGCGAGACTCTTTTGTTTTTAAATCTCAAAATACGTGTTTTTTTTTTTTATAAAGGATGACACAGTGCCTTTATAACCCAAGATAATGGAACTCTAGCTTTGTTTTATGCAAAAATGAAGGTACTTAAAATGATTAAGGCACAGAGGTTTTTGTTCTAAAAAGTTGTATTTTGTCTGCTTTTTCTGAAATCCATGGAAGTGGGTTTATCCCTTCTTGCAGTGTGCTTAGCCTGAGTGAAGCCCAACTTCTAGAATTCTGGAAAGAGCCTTAATGTATAGGATGTATTGTGTGCAGAAGAGGTGCAGGGCGTATGCAGCATAGACACAGGGCACTTTTCTACCCAGCTCTGTGCTACTCTTGGAATCTTCTCTTCCTAATTCACAGTTGAATAAAGGAATTTCAGATCATTCGAATGACTGGAGGTTTTGATATAGCTTAGTTTCATTTTGGAAGGGATGCAGGGTTGAGGTGGTGCTGTGACTTTCCTGAACTGAACTCTAATCCTTCCTGACTTCATCTCAACTGTAATTTTTCAGTCCAAGCCTTGTCCAAGTTACTTCATGTGACTTAAGTCGGTGTGTTGCTTCAGACATCTCTCCTTCCCCGCTCCCTATTCCAGGCATCTGTTTTGGTCTTTGGAACTCAGTAACTGTAGAACTGTTTTATAAACTTGGTAACTCAGAAGCCCTTGCACTTAGACAGCCTGTTTCATGCCTCAGGTGGTTTTAAAACACCCCGTTTTGTGTGCTGTCAGTCCTCATAGAAGGCAGCAGCTGGAGCTAATATTTACGACTTTAATATTAGGAACTTAGAAACAAAACTGCATCCAGGAGTTATGGTGACACCCAAAGGAGTTTTTTTGTTTGTATTTTAGAATAACAGAGAGTAAAAGTATTCTTTACACTGCCCCCCTTTTTTTAAAAGCAGGTTTCACTGTGATTGCTTAGTTTCATCCCATCATTAGAGGAGGGAGTGGTTTTCCTGAGTTTACTGACAGTCCTTTAAAAATATCTCCTGGACTATGTGCATACACTGCCCTTTTTAATAAAATACCCTAGCTGTTGAAATTTCTTTAGAAAGATGCCTCAGTTAGGAAATACTTACCAGTTGATGAGATCAGTGTCTAGAAGCCAGAGATTCTGTTGTCATGACTCCTCCTCTCAATCTGTCTTAGTACTGAAGTACTTATTTATTATGATACTGTGGAAATGATTGTTTCATATTAAGGAAATGAAATGGCCCCGTCTATACTAGTGATTGAAAATGTGAATGGGATTTTCTCCTGGAGGCTGTCTTACTGCTTAGACTCACCCACCATTGGGTCATTTGGTAATGTTGGCAAAGGTGTAGTTACTGAAATAAACAACCTGTTGTTTCTCTTTCATCTCTCTCCCTTGATTGGTATCTTTATTTGTGCAAGGCAGCAAATAAGCTTCATTTCCTAATCATCAATAAATATAGTCCTTGAAAGAAACCTAGGGGCCTAATTGATTGCTAGTGACTTGTTGGCTCAGCACTATTTACTGAAGTATTTTTCTGTGTCTTCCATATGCAAGAATGAGCACTAGATGAAAAATTAATCAGAAAGTGGAAATTAGTATGGCAGAACTTAAAAATTTAAAGAATTTATAGGAAATATAGGACAGCAAAGCATTGTTGAAAGTTTTTTTTGTGGTTTTTGACTTTGACAATTCTACAGTTAAATATTAAACCATTTTCTTCCTAATTATGTCACCTAGCTGTCCTACAATTTATCTGTTTCAAGTAGTCTCCTGAGTTAATTTTGCCAAGCAGGAGAATTGCCCCAATTCAGGCAGGCCTTGAGCCTTCCACATGTCCCGGTGTAGCACTCGGCTCCTTCCAGGGAAACTTTAGGATGTCATTTTCGGGTGCTCTCTGAGACACTCATCCAGCTTCTCTTCCATGTTTTGTAGATTCAGATCCATAAAGTCTATGTGAGACCTGGGGTCCTCCAAGTCAATTAATTCCTATTTTAGTCAACCATTTAAAATTATAACTTTAAACCAATATATATATGCTAAACATGAAGAACATAATGTCCTGCAGCATCGATGAGATGTGTGTTAGTTAGATGTATTCTCAGTGAAAACAGGGAGTCTCTAGAGGTCTTGTGTGTTCAGAAGCTGCAGCCCCTTTACTGTCAGGGAGACAACACCTGTACAGGACTAAGTAAAGCAGCAAAATAACAGCAGCCTGCCCTAAGGCATTCTAGTGAGGCAGCTTCTCACTCTGGCCTGTAAGAAAGGTTTCACAGGCCAGTGCACCCTTTTGTTTCACGTGCAACCAAGAGAACAGCTCAAGGCAAAATCTGGAGATGCTCGGGAGATTTAGACAGTAGAAAGCACAGGCGGAACAATAATAATAATAATAGATATTTATTACATGTGATCTTTATTAATTAGGTTGCTTTTTCCAGGGCTTCACACAGGTTAGGCACTACAATGGAGGTACCTCTGTGGCCTTTAATTGGATGCTTTTGGAAGATAGTTTCACTCACAGGTTATTAACACGGTTCTCAGGGGACTCAAATATGTAGACCTTTGGTTTCTTAAGATAGCTTCAAAATACTTGGATCAGCAGAATATTTATTGAACTAATCATTCTGTTAATACTAAGTTAATGATGATCTTACTTCCCTATATGGAAAAAAAGTTGTAGAAAGCCAGGGACATCGTACAATTTACTACTAGACCTCGAAGGAGATATAAATGCCTTCGCTCCAGTTGTGTAAGAGGGAAAACAATGTTTTGTTAGCTCAGCCAATCCTGAGAGACGTACAAAGGGTTGTTCCCGTACTTCCCCATTTACCTTTAATGCCAGTAAATACGTATTGAGTTTTAATGTCTCCCAGAATATGCACTAACAGTGGGGGAGGGAAGGACAGAGGACATTTAACAGTGAGGATAGCATGAGGTGTGGAAACAGTGATAACCGTAAGGGCAGAGAAGAACAGTAGTGGAAGAGAAGGGAAATCGTGCCTCCCCTGAAGACTGTGCCTCAGTTGGGAAACATGGATACACGCACTCCTGGGTCTTTGCTGAGGTTTAGGATGCGTTTTGTGCAGTTTAAGAACAGAAATTAAGGTTGGTAAAGTTGTATAGTGAGTAACCTGGTGTGTAGATCTTAGCAGATAAGAATGGTGTGGCTGAACTGGAGGTGCCCATCAAAGAACGTGGCATCCTGTGCAGGAGCCTGTGGGAGGGCAGGTAGAGAGTCTGCCTGTGTCAATGGCACATCTTTTGACGGTTTGGCGCAATTCACGGCAGTGTCTTCGTATCCCAGCATTGACCTTTGTACGGGGTAACTTTGATTCTTGGAAGTTTCCCAGGAGATACCTAGGAAAAATTAATGCACATTGAAACCAGCATAATCTTTAATATTAGTTTTCATCCGTGTAGAAACTCAACTTCAAACTACAAACAGGCTTATTGAGTTACCACTCTTCACTTCTGAAAATCTGTCTATTTGTAACTGTTAAGTTTTCTTCATGAAAAGTGTGTATCTAATACTCTCCTAAAATACTGATGTACCGGAAACTCAAATAAATGCCTTACATGTGGAACATCCTTGTGTGTTGTGTGCTTTTAATACAGGGTGTGAAATGTCACACTGTTGGTAAATCTCGGGCGTGGCATGCTGTGGATAAAGCCCTTGCTGGGTGGCTACATGGTGAGGCCAGCTCTCCAGGAGACAGGCAGGGCTGTGTGTGAGCCACGAAACCTGTTTGAGACTGGAGGCAAACCGTCCTTGGATGTTCACTTCAGACTCTGACAAACATGAGAAGAGAAAGTCTGTAAAACCTGGTGAGCCAGAGAAGAATCCCCCTAAGCTTCTGATCACAGGTTTTTTTTTTTTTTAATTTAGATAAGAAACAAGGTTGCTTCACAAGTCAGTTCCAGGTCCCTCTCCCTTTCCCTCCCCCCCCGTTTTTTTCCCCATCATGCGTGATTCTGAGCCTCAGGTTGTCTTTCTTTTGAGGAGCAACTCAGAAATCATTGGCAACAAAATAATCTGCTACTTAAGCAAGAACTGCTTATTCAAAACTAGAATGCCTAAAAGCTGGAGAGAGCTGGGGGGGGGGGGTGGAGAGAAGGAGGAACACACACACACACACACACACATACACACACACACACACACACACACACACACACAGAAACAGGAGGGAAGGAGGAAAGAACTGTAGATTATACTCATCACAGTGTAGATTATACTCAACAGTGCTTGATGCTACATTCGAACATAAGAAACATAACCCTCACACAAGTGATCAACCTTAAAATTAAAATATTTTTAAAATTTAGATTTAAAATTTTATGCGTATGAGTGCTTTGCCTGCCTTAATGTACGCAGACCATTATACCTGCCTGGTGCCTGCAGCAACCAATTAGAAGAGGATGTTAGAGCCCCTGAAACTGGAATTATGAATAGTTGTGAGCTGTCTTGTGGGTGCTAAGAATTGAACCTGAGTTTTCTGGAAGAGCAGTACGTGTTCTTCACCACTGAGTTCTCTCTCCAGCCTGCCTCCTCACTCCCAATTAAAATAATTAATTAAAAATGGTGTGGGTGTGTCTGCTTGTGGTTATGTGCACATGAGTAAAAAGGCCAGAGGAGAGTGCTTGGGTTCTTTGGAGCTAGGGTTGTAGGTGTGTGCGATCCACTCAGTGTGGGTCTTAGGAGCTAAACTCAGGTCCTCCGTTAGAGCAATACACACTTAACACCATGTAGCTATCTCTAGCCCAAATGACAATCTTTTAAATGTATATACTAATGTAAAAGATCCTGATCCCTGATACTGTACAACCCACAAAACAAGTTGCATGAAATAAGGTTTAAGTAATAATTTAAAGACAGAAAGAAGCCAATCTGGTTTTTGTTTTGTTTTTAACTTGACTGCCATCCAAAAGTAGTCAAAATGTGTTCCACTGATTGCTTTGAGTTTTGGCTAAAAACTTGTCTCCCCTCAAACCCAAGTTTAACCAGTCATCAAATACATGAGTATTATAGTTGAAACATGTTGGCTCTCAGTGTTAACTGCATCTTAGATTCCAGTGATCACTGAATGCATTTGCCTCCATTTTTCAGAAGTTAACAGAATGGATGTACTTTTCTGTAACAAAAAAAGGGTACCTTTCAACATACTTTAAAATATAATGTGTATATTTTCAGTTCTTAATTTCTGTTCCAATCCTGATGGTCAAATTCTTCAAACCCTAGAGCAGATAGTTCAGAATTTCTTTTCTTGACTACCTGGAAGACAAAGAGTTTTATTTTAAGTGCCATGCAAGGTCAAGTCAACAGTTCATTCTGGCCCAACTTCTGTTGGTGGGTGAGCGGGTGGGCTTGCAATTTAGGAAGTCTTTGAGGGGCCAGTATGACTTCCATTTATTATTAACTTTATAACCCACAAGGACCACATTCCTTCCTTTCCTAAGCCTAAGTACATTTCCAGGATGATCCTCTTTTTGAGCAGAGATGACACCACTAATCTGTTACAGTCTTCTTCCTTATGGAACACACATGTCCTTCCGCTACCACAACGCCTGTAGCCTTGGAGAATGAGCACTGATGCTTCGTGTTTGCTGTTACTGTCCTCCGCTCCTTCCTTTTTTAGCTGTGAAAAGTTGCATCCTTTTATTCAGTGGGAACCTCATTTGACACATGGCCCTTGACTCTATCCGGTATCTCAAGATTTAATTGGTGTTTGTTTCATCCTGGATGAAACAGGTTGTCTCTTGGTGTTAGCTCTGTGCTCAGGAGGTTGACAGTTGTATACAGTTTTCCTTAGGAAAGCAAATCACCTTTCAAAATAGCATCAGATTTTATCAATATCAGATCCTGTATTCTGTCATCACTTCATGGTCCTTATCTAAACTTGTCCTGTTTCTTTAATTTTTCTGGTTTCAAAAATTCAGATGGCACACCTCGTTGCCAGTGTGCAACTGAATAAAAATTGTTATTCCTTCTAGCCTTACAGTGACAGTGCCCTTGATTGCATGTCAGCTGGAAGTCACCTCAGGTGCAGGCCTGAGGAATGCGTGTTATTGATTGTCTCTAGAGTGAACATTGGATGCTTCCACCGATTGTTAATATCCATGAGTTCGTATAATTTTTAAAAATGGGTAATTTGGGAATGAAAATATACAATATCTTTTCCCTCAAAGTTCTTTTACAAAATGAAAGCTCTGTAGATGGTATATAACCAGACTAGACCACCTTATTTTTTTTTATAAAATAATCTTGGTAAAATAACTCAAATGTTTTATAAGACGACTTATTTTTGAAGACTTTTTGAAGTTGCTCATGTCTCACAAATAATGCTGCTTCTTTTAAAAAAGAATTGATTTTTATGTTATGTGCATTGGTGTTTTGGCTGCATGTATGTCTGTGTGAGGGTGTTAGGTCTAGAACTGGAGTTACAGACAGTTGTGAGCTATCATGTGGGTGCTGAGAATTACCCGTAGGTCCTCTGGAAGAGCAGTCAGTGCTCTCAACCCCGAGCCATCTCTCTACATTTTAAAAAAAACTTTGGGTGATTGTTATTTGAAATAAAAAGAAAATTAGGTCAGGTGTGACTGGTGCCTCCCATCCCAGGACTCCAGAGGCTGAGGCAAGAGGATGTAAAACTCAAGACTGGCCTGTGCTGTATAGCTTATTTCAAAACAGAAAAAAAAAGGAATTTAAGAATAATTTATATAAAAGCACTCAGTGCCACAAATATTATTACTTTGAGTTTTTTCAATTTTGCAAAACACACTTGACTACGAACACATTTTTTTCAAGAAAAGACTGGGACTATTATAAAATACATAGTTGACTCCTGTGATTTCATTATTTTGTCTATGCATTTCAGTTGATGAGTGTTTTGTCTCTCTCCTTGCACCAGGAAATACTTCCTCCTACCCACATTAAGTTTTGAAAGTTTACCAAATAAGGAATAGGTGCTTTACATAGCTCCATTAAAACTTAAAAAAAAAAGCGCAGAGCTGGTTCTATTTTGTTTTTCAAAATTCAAACTACTTCAAACCAACTTGTGAAAAAGAAAGTACAATTTTACCTTGTGTTGCTGACGTAACTTTTTAACCCTAAGTTGGTGGGCTTGGTTTGTAAAGTGATCTGGCGGCCTGCAAGAAAAAGCAACAGTGTTATCCTCTGCCTGCACGGAAGAGCACCTACTGTCTCATGCTATTTTGGACTTGAAATTGTGACAAATGAAAACAGCTAGAGCAACTTGCAGGTGCCGCCACCAGAATTTTGCCTTACAGATAGCTTATTTTGGGGGCGGTGGTCTCAGAAGGGTTGATGGAAAGTTGTGGGAAAGATGGGAGGATAAATTCATCATGCAAGGGATGGTTATTGTTCAAGCCAAGCTCTGAACCACAACTGCTCTGAGGACTTTTTAGTTCTATAGCATTTTCTCCACACTGCTACTCAAGAAAGGGTTGATTGTAACTGCTCTATATAGTTCTAGACTTTATTATATTATACAAATTCTGTTCATAATATATTTGCATTCACTTTTTGTTTTTCATCATAAAGTGGGGTATAATATCTGGAAGATGTCTTTCTATACAGGTTTCCTTGCAAGTAGACATTTACTCCTCCTAATCTTCTAAAAAGTGCATATGCATTGCTTTATTTAATTAATTTTTTGACAGTTCATAGCTTTGTATAACAGATTTTAGTAAATATATCACCCTCTGTTCTCCCGTCCACGCTCCCGCTGATGAAACCCTCCATCTCTGAGTTTCCTCACCCTTGGTAACAATTATATCTTGATAGCTCCTCTTCACGTGTGTCTCATTAGCCTGGCATATGAAACAGTAAAAAAAAAAGACCCTGTATAAAGCAAGGAACGACTCTGACTTCTGCACACATTTGGTAATTTGGTAGCATATGTGTGTGTATGTGTGGGGTAGGTGAAGGGAGAGGGGGAGAGAGAGGGAGGGAGGGCGAGGAAGGGGAAGAGCCTAAGAGAGAGTGAGATGGATTATAAAACAAGTCAGTGTGGTTCCATGTTTTGTTAAAAATTATTAAATTAATTCAACATAAATGTGGACACCAAGAGAGAACAAACATTGTGATGAGTTGTACCGCAAACTGACTTCTAACTTCCCATATTGTTTAGTTTTCTAATGAGGAGTGGTGCTGTTGCACTTGTGAGCAGAATACCCCACATTTCACACACACACACACACACACACATGCACACATGTGTGTGGAAGGCAGTAAGACAGCTCATGTCTTTCCTGCTTCCCTGTGGAACCAGTGCAAACACTAACAGCAGCAGCTCTAGTGCAAATACGAACAGCAGCAGCTCTGGACAGGGCTTCCAAGTGTGACCCTTGAATCACAGCCCTAGCTGTGCTTGAGTCAGAAGCAGGGCAGGGAAAGGTGAGAGAGGTAGGTTTCACAGGCTCCTGGAGATGTCCTTCACCTACAAAAATGACTGTCTTTTTTTTTTTGTCACTAACAACATGCACAATGCTATAGTATAATTTTCCCTTCTTAAATTTCAATTAAGTGCATTACAATATATTATATTTACACTTAAGAGTGAGG